TACATTGATGTATCATTGTTATTATGATAATTATTATATACAGTATTATTATTATCATATAGATTATACAGGCCAGTATTATGATTATTTACGCCATTATTATTATTATTCCACAGACAATGGAACAACAAAAAATATTGTATACCACAAGCATTATGAAATTACTTATATTAGAAACCAGCTCTTTCTCTTTTTTTTCTTTTCCATTTAACCAGATGGCGGAAACAGAAGAACGGCCTGCCTCAGAGGAGCGTGCTTGCTCCATCCATGTTCAACATCTACACAAATGACCAGCCACTGCCAGAAGGGACAGAGAGTTTCATCTATGCTGATGATTGTGCCATCACCGCTCAAGCAGGGAGCTTTGAGATGGTTGAACAGAAGCTCTCCGGAGCTCTAAGTGCTCTTACTGCCTATTACAGCGAAAACCAGATGATCCCTAATCCATCTAAAACACAGACATGTGCTTTTCACCTTAAGAACAGACAAGCATCCCGAGGATTACCTGCGAAGGAATCCCACTGGAGCATTGCAGCGCACCCAAATACCTGGGAGTCACTCTGGACCGTGCCCTGACCTACAAGAAGCATTGCTTGAATTTCAAGCAAAAGGTGGGTGCTAGAAATATCATACGAAAGCTGACTGGCACAACCTGGGGATCACAACCAGACATAGTGAAGACATCTGCCCTTGCGCTATGCTACTCTGCTGCTGAGTACGCATGCTCAGTGTGGAACACATCTCACCATGCTAAAACAGTGGATGTGGCTCTTAATGAGGCATGACGCATTAACACGGGGTGCCTGCGCCCTACACCACTGGAGAAATTACACTGCTTAGCATTACATTGCACCACCTGACATCCGCCGGGAAGTAGCAGTCAATAGTGAAAGGACCAAGGCAGTGACATCTCCAGCTCATCTCCTGTTTGGATATCAGCCAGCACGTCAACGACTTAAATCAAGAAATAGTTTTCTAAGATCTACAGCAGTGGTTCTCAACCTGGGGTCCCCAGATGTTTTTGGCCTTCAACTCCCAGAAATCCTAACAGCTGGTAAACTGGCTGGGATTTCTGGGAGTTGTAGGCCAAAAACATCTGGGGACCCCAGGTTGAGAACCACTGATCTACAGAGACACTCGCTGGAACACCTCAGCAAGCGAGAGTCCAAAAGTGGCAGGCTCAAACCCAGAACCTCAATCAATGGCTGATAACAAATGAGAGACTCCCCCTGGGCACACAGAGAACTGGGCAACTTGGAAGGCGCTGAACAGACTGCGCTCTGGCACCACGAGATGCAGAGCCAACCTTAACAAATGGAGCCACAAAGTGGAATCCATGACATGCGAATGTGGAGAAGAGCAAACCACAGTCCACCTGCTGCAATGCAACCTGAGCCCTGCCACATGCACAATGGAGGACCTCCTTGCGGCAACACCAGAGGCACTCCCAAGTGGCCAGATACTGGTCAAAGGACATATAATCAACTACCAAGCTTGCAAACTTTGTGTTTTTTCTGTTTGTTAAAAAATGCAACGCAACTGTTCGGTCTGCTCCTGACATGATAAATAAATAAATAAATTTAACCAGACTGGGCCATTGCAACGTCTGGCTGGGTAGAGCTAAAATATGTATATCTATATCTTCTGTATATATAATAAAGAAGAGTGTTTGTATGGGAAGGACAGAGGTGCGGAGGGCGGAAGGTGTATGTGGCAGCTTTCTGATTGGCTGCCGCTGTGGTGCTATTTGCATATGGTCTCTGATTGGCCAGCTTCAATAGGAGCCCCTGGTGGAGAAGAGGGTTCATGGCAGAAACGGGGCATGACAGAAGGAAATTTGCATATGGTCTCTGATTGGCCAGCCTCAAATCCAAGATTCCGAGATAGAGAGGAAAGGAAAGGCCGGGGGCTGGGTCAGAACACTACCAATACAGACCGAAATAGGCACACAGAGCCCCCATCACCCACTCTACATCCTACTGCAGTTTGGAGGAGGATGAACCATGGATGATGGGACTTGCAGTACCACCACTCACATTCTGAGACCGCTGTTAACCTTATCCAATGACTGATCAGGACCAAACTTCACACATAGACCTCTCATGACCCACTTTACGTCCTGGTGTGGTTTGGCCGGGGATGGACCGTGGATTATGGGACTTGCAGTACCATTGCTCAATTCTTCAGACCACTGCAACCCTCATCCAATTACCAATAAATACCAAACTTGGCACACTGAGTCTCCATGACGCACTCTACATCCAGGTGCAGTTTGAAGGAGGATGCACCATGGACGATGGGACTTGCAATACCTGCACTCCCTTCCTAAGACCATTACAACTGCCAACGATGATGGATCAGGAACACAATTTACACAGAGACCCAGCATGACCCACTCTACATCCTGGTGCAGTTTGGAAGAATTTAACAATGGATGATGGGACTTGCAGTCACTTCACTCACTTCCTGAGACCACTGAGACCCTCGCCAATGACTCATCAAGACTAAACTTGGCACATGGAGCTTCAATGACCCACTCTACATCCTGGAGCAGTTTGGAGGACGACAGACCATGGATGATGGGACTTCAAGTACCTCCACTACCCAAGACTGCTGCAAAACTCATCTAATGACCAATCAAGACCAAAGTTGGCACACAGAGCCCCCATGACCCACTCTACATCCTGCTGCAGTTTTGGAGAAGGGTGGACCATGGATGATGGAACTTCCAGTACCTTCACTCGCATTCTGAGACCTCTGCAAACCTCATCCAATGACGGATCAAGACCAAACTTGGCACATAGACCTCTCATGACCCACGTTATGTCCTGGTGTTGTTTGGAAAAATTTGGAGATGGATGATGGGACTTGCAGTACCTTTGCTCACTTCCTGAGACCACTGAGACCCTCGCCAATGACTAATCAAGACTACACTTGGCACATGGAGCTCCAATGACCCACTCTACGTCCTGGTGCAGTTTGGAGGAGGACAGACCATGGATGATGGGACTTCAAGTACCTCCACTCCCTTCCAAGATTGCTGCAACCCTCTTCTAATGACCAATCAAGACCACACTTGGCACACAGAGCCCCCATGATCCACTCTACATCCTGCTGCAGTTTGAAAGGGGATGGACTTTGGATGATGGGACTTGCAGTACCTTCACTCACTTACTGACACCACTGCCACCCTCATCTAATGACTGATAAAGACCAAACTTGGCACACAGAGCCCCCATGACCCACTCTATCCTGCTGCTGTTTGTAGGAGGATGGCCCATGGATGATGGGACTTCAAATACCTTCACTCACTTCCTGAAAATAATGCAGCCGTTATCCAAAGACCAATAAAGACCAAACTTGGCATACAGAACCGCCATTACCCACTTTCTCTAATAACCCGGGCAACGCCGGGTCCCCAAGCTAGTATATAATAAAGAAGAGTGTTTGTTTGTATGGGAAGGACAGAGGAAGTGTGGAGGGCGGAAGTGTATGTGGCAGCTTTCTGACTGGCTGCCACTGTGGTGCTATTTGCATATGGTCTCTGATTGGGCAGCTTCAACAGGAGCCCCTGGTGGAGAAGAGGGTTCATGACAGAAACGGGGACATGACAGAAGGAAATTTGCATATGGTCTCTGATTGGCCAGCCTCAAATCCAAGATTCCGAGATGACAGAAAAGGAAAAGGCCAAAAAAGGGCTGGGTCAGAACACTACCAATACAGACCGAAACTGGCACACAGAGCCCCCATCACCCACTCTACAACCTACTGCAGTTTGGAGGACGATGAACCATGGACGATGGGACTTGCAGTACCACCACTCACATTCTGAGACCGCTGTTAACCTCATCCAATGGCTGATCAGGACCAAACTTGGCACATAGACCTCTCATGACCCACTTTACGTCCTGGTGTGGTTTGGCCGGGGATGGACCATGGATTATGGGACTTGCAGTACCTTTGCTCAATTCTTGAGACCACTGCAACCCTCATCCAATTACCGATAAAGACCAAACTTGGCACACTGAGTCTCCATGACGCACTCTACATCCTGGTGCGGCTTGGAGGACAATGCACCATGGACGATGGGACTTGCAATACCTGCACTCCCTTCCTAAAACCATTATAACTGCCAACAATGATGGATCAGGACCACAGAGAACCCGCATAACCCACTCTACATCCTGGTGCGGTTTGGAAGAATTTGACAATGGATGATGGGACTTGCAGTCACTTCACTCACTTCCTGAGACCACTGAGACCCTTGCCAATGACTGATCAAGACCAAACTTGGCACAGAGAGTCCCCATGACCCACTCTACATCCTGGTGTACTTTCGAGGAGGACAGACCATGGATGATAGGACTTCAAGTACCTCCACTCTCTTCCCAAGACTGCTGCAACCCTCATTAATGTCCGAACTCAACCAAACTTGGCACAAAGAGCCACCATGACCTACTCTACATCCTACTGCGGTTTGGAGTAGGGCATACCATGGATGATGGGACTTGAAGTACCCCTACTTGCTTTCCGAGACTGCTGCAACCCTCAACAATGACTGAACAACACCAAACTTGGCACATAGACCTCTCATGACCCACTTTACGCTATGGTGTGGTTTGACTGTGGATCGAGCATGGATTATGGGACTTGCAGTATCTTCGCTCAATTCCTGAGACCACTGCAACCATCATCCAATTTCCGATAAGGACCAAACTTGGCACACCAGGTCTCCATGATGCACTCTACATCCTGGTGCGGTTTGGAGGATGATGCACCATGGACGATGGGACTTGCAGTTCCTTCACTCACTTAGTGAAACTACTGAGACCCTCATCCAATGACTGATGAAGACCAAACTTGCACACAGAACCCCCATTACCCACTTTCTCTAATAACCCGGGCAACGCCGGGTCCCCAAGCTAGTATATTATAATAATAAGATTCTGCACCCACAATTCTTGGGTTCCCGCTCTGAGGAGGCCCCGAGCAGTGCTTACCTGGTACTGGCCGAGGCCAAGCGCGGGGCTCTGAAGCTGCTGGATGATGGCCTCATCAAAGTAGCCGTTCTTCTCCCACAGCTGAAGGAGCTGTGGGAAATCAAGAGGGAAAGGCAGGGCGTTACCGGGAGGACTCCGGACCCCCGGCCTGCTCCTTGCCACCACGGCTTCCCCTGCGAGACCCGAGCCACGGCCGCTCACCCTGGCGATCTTCTGCTGCTTGTCCTCCTCCACGGCCAGGAAACTGGTGCAATAGATGGGCACCACCACCTTCTGCAGGGCAGCCAGGAGGTCCCGCTGCTGCTTCCGCTGGCTGGAAGGGGGGGGGGGGGCAAAAGGGAACAGCGTTGAGGCCCAAATCGGGTGCATGAGTGAGTTAAATGGAATTAAGATGATGGCGTGCAGCATTGTCCAAGGCTTTCACGGCCAGAATCCCTGGAGTGTTGTGTGGTTTCCAGGCTGTCTGGACAATATGTTCTAGCAGCATTTGTTTGTTTTGCCTGCATCTGTGCCTACTGGCATCTGCAGAGGATCAAGCAAGTGGAGTATATAAGATATACTGTATATACTCGAGTATAAGCCTAGTTTTTCAGCCCTTTTTTACGCTGAAAAAGTCCCCCTCGGCTTATACTTGAGTCAAGGTTATTTATTATTTTACTCTGTTATTATTATTATTTTCATTTAATTTATTATTTTACTCTATTTATTATTATTACATTTGTCATTTTGCTGTTATTATACATTTATTATTTTACTGTATAATGGTTGTTATTGCTACATTCATTATTTTACTCTTTTTATTATTATTGTTATTATTACATGTGTTATGTTGCTTTCTCTATTATTATTGGAAGGATACGGAAGCACATTTACATTGAAGAAGGTAAATAAACATTTAATCAGAGTTGGACAGTCTTGTCTTAAATTACCATTTTTGTAAGTATTCAAAAATATATAACCTACTGATTCCCAAAGTACATCAAACAAAACATCAATAAACACAACATCAATAAACAATCAATAAAATACAAATCATATAAATCACATAAACAAAAAAAATCAATAGTGACATAAACAATTTTAAAAATGGCCGGGCCAAATGTAATAGATTAAAATTGAAAATATGCTGACGTGAACAAGGTAAAATATAACTAGGATAGGATTTTTCGGAGAAATGAGGGAGCACAGTCCATCCTAAGTCAGTATTAAAGTGCATTGTGAGGATATATTGCTGAGAGTTCTCCTTATTCTGGGAAGGCACACTGGAACAACCACGTTTTCAGGCTCCTCCTAAAGACTGCCAACGTTGGGACATGTCTAATGTCCCTGGGAAGTGAGTTCCAGAGTCGGAGAAGGCCCTCTCCCTCGTCTCCACCAAAGTAAACAATATGTTGACATGACCAGAGACAATGCTTTGACTGGGCTTTTCCTGCATGACAGAAGGGGTTGGACTGGATGGCCCCTGGGGTTGCTCCCATTACTATTATCATTATTACTACAAAGGCTGGATGGCCATCTGTTGAGGGTGCTTTGATTGTGCTTTTCCTGCATGGCAGAAGGGGGTTGGACTGGATGGTCCCTCATTTGCTCCTATCAGTATTACTATTATTATCATTATTACCAGTGGTGGAGGACGTCATTGATCAGGTAGATCAGGTGCAACCGCAGCTCAAAGTGGGCCCCTTCAGCCGTGATGCGGTTGCGCAGGTGCCCGGCCATCAGCTCGCAGTGCTGGGGAGACTTGGCGTTACTGAACATCCAGTTCTTCCCTGCCTGTGGACACAAAAATACACACGGTTGGATTGCAGAAGGCCTTGCCAGGTCCAAATGGAGCAACCTGACTGTAGATTTCCCACTTTTGTTTTTCCGTAAATTTCTTTAAAATTGTATTGTGTCAGACCCATACCTTCCTTCCACATGACACCTATGACTGCCAAAATAACTCAATGTGACTCTTATTCCTATTATTATATTATTATTGTTGTTGTTGTTATTGTTTATTATGTTTATTTATGCCCCCTTTTTTCTCCACCAGGAGCCTCAATGTGGCTCAACGATAGATAGAAATATATTGTCGAAGGCTTTCATGGCCAGAATCACTGGGTTGTTGTAGGTTTTTCAGGCTGTATGGGCATGTTCTAGAAGCATTCTCTCCTGATGTTTTGCCTGCATCTATGGCAGGCATCCTCAGAGGTTGTGATCTCTAGAACATGGCCATACAGCTTGGAAAGCCTACAACAACCCAACGGTAGAAATACATTATTATTATTATTATTATTATTATTATTATTATTATTATTATGTTTATTTTAAAAAGGTAAAGGTAGTCCCCTGACATTAAGTCCAGTCATGTCGGACTCTGGGGTGTGGTGCTCATCTCCATTTCTAAGCCGAAGAGCCGGCATTGTCCGTAGACACCTCCAAGGTCATGTGGCCGGCATGACTGCATGGAGTGCCCTTACCTTCCCGCCGGAGCGGTACCTATTGATCTACTCACATTTGCATGTTTTCGAACTGCTAGGTTGGCAGAAGCTAGGGCTGACAGCTGAAGCTCACGCCGCTCCCCTGAATCGAACCTGCGACCTTTTGATCAACAAGCTCAGCAGCTCAGTGCTTTAACCCACTGCGCCACCGGGGGCTCCTTTATGTTTATTTATACCCTGCCTTTTCTCTCCACCAGGAGACTCAAAGTGGTTAAAAGACAGACTCTAAGATAGATAGATATTATTATTACTTGATACACAACAAGATTAGTCCACAGCAAACAAGATTCCTATGCTGGCTTTTGTATTGGACACGTCAGACACTTAGCAAGTGTGATGTATGGGAGAATAATGCATGCAGATCCAAGTAGCATGGCCTTTTGCAGTTGACCTGTGGTGATTTTTGTCAGGGTCTATTGTTTTTAAGTGCACGTCAAGGTCTTGAGGCACTGCACCCAGCGTGCTGATCCCCACTGGGACCACCTAGATTAGCTTGTGCTAAAATGTTTGCAGCTCAGTCATTAAAGTCAGCCTTTTGTGTCTTCCTTCCCAAATACCCCCATGCCAACCTCTGTTTTCCCTGCTTCAGAGGAGGGCCTTACTGAGATGGCATCCTTGGTGCAAGTGTCAATGATGGGCTGCAGCAGGTTATCGAATTCGTTCACGTCCAGCTGAGTCTCTTCCAAGACTTTCTGCATCTGCTGGTCGACGGCCAGCGCAATGGCAGCCGTGATTTGCTCCTGAGGAAGAGAGGCCTACAGGTTACAGTCAGACCTTGAGCTGAAGAGTTTAGTGTGTTCCATGACCAAGGAACACACTAAACATCACTCATATCGCTCTGATCTCAAAGCAAATTTTCCCACTGACATGCATGGAATGCAATGAATTTGCTCCGGCCTCCCAAACCTTTTAAAAAATAAAATAAAATAAAATGTACTTAATCAATAACAAATAATGCATAAATCCACATTTACATGGCAAAAGAAAGATCAACTTTAAGATGGTATAAGCACCAAGTTGTGGCAAGAAGCACAAAGTGAAGAAGAGGCAGAAGCATCCTTTTCTGCTTCCATATATATATATATATATATATACACACACACACACACACACACACACACATATATATATATATATGAGAGAGAGATAGGTACAGTATCATAGACTTGGAAGGGACCCTCAAAGGCCATCCAGTCCAGCCCCGTTCTTAAAAATGAGTCATTTGTACTCACACAAAGAATATCTGCTAACAGTAATAAGACAAAAAATACAGACTGGGATAATTTCCTAAAATATCTCGAGAATAGAAATAAGGAAATCTGAAGAAAATCAGAGGGAAAGAAAGATTTTTTTTGATAACAGCACGAAGATATTAAACTCAATATAATACCAGGCATTTGCCTGAAGAATGAGAACAACTTTTTGCTCTGATTAACTTGGAAGTGCTTTTTGCTAAGCTTTTTACACGCCCCTCCCCGAGTGAAATGGGTGAACGTATGTGAATGTGTATATGTGTGCGTGGATGAGTCTTTAGACTTCTTCTCCCTCTTTCCACCCCCTTTCCCGCTCCTCCCCTCTTTTCTGTCCTTCTCTCCCCCCCCCCGCGCCACCCCTTCTTCTCAATTTTTAGCTCTCTTTCCCTTTCCCACTGTGACACTCTTAAATACTGTTCTATCCTTTTTTATGTACACAAAATTTATAATAAAAATAGTCTGCATGTGTGTGTGTGTATTCCTGACTGTGAGAGCCATTCAGCAGTGGAACTCTCTGCCCCAGAGTGTGGTGGAAGCTCCTTCTTTGGAAGCTTTTAAACAGAGGCTGGATGGCCATCTGTCGGGGGTGCTTTAAATGCAATTTTCCTGCTTCTCAGCAGGGGGCTGGACTGGATGGCCCATGAGGTCTCTTCCAACTCTATGATTCTATGAGAGATAGCTACAGAATCATAAATTTGGAAGGGACCCCCAAAGGCCATCCAGATCAGCCCCATTCTTATCCTGGAGTTGTCTGTAAGACAGCCTGTACCCAAAACCAAGGTGAAAGCCCAGGGCATGAGTGTCAAACTCGTCCTCCTCCTCACCTGTCTGAGGGCCAGGAGGTGCTGCTCCTGCTGCTGGAGGTTCCACTGGCTCTGCTGGATGAGCTCCTCCACAGAGCTGGGCGTGGCAGCCCCCTGCGAGGCGGCGGCGGCAGCAGTGACCACGGGTGTGGGTGTCAGGGCCAAGGGCGGCTGTGCTGGCATGGCGGGGATGGCAGTGGGGGCGGCCTCAGGGTCCTGGCTCTGCTTGCACAGCACTGGCAGGAGAGAACGCACAACAAAAAGGCTGGTTCAACACACAGGCATTTGCAGAAGGGACCCCGCCTGGACTGGAGTCCCACGCGCCCTCGCATCTAACGCCCACCTCCACTGACAAAACCCTGCTGAAGCTGCCGCGGTTTCCTTTGGAACCTCAAAGAAATGAAACTTCAGAGGAATCCATGTCGAGAATGAAAATTTACAATAAACTGTTAAATACCGATCTTTTGGAAACAAACTAGGTGACAGTTCTAATGCTCTGTGGTGCTGCTTTTAAGGGTTGTATGCATTCTTTTACTAAATTTATTTTTTTCCAATTTTTTTATTATACTTATAAAACAATTATACATAATAATAATAATCTTTATTTGTACCCCGCCACCATCTCCTCGATGGGGACTCGGCTCGGCTTACATAAGGCCAAGCCCAAACAACAATTACATAAAATAAAACCAAAAACGCAAACAAACAATAACAACGTAATTACATAAAACAAACGAAAACATATCAATATAAAATTACAATAGGCGCAATCACAATGACAATGGGCAAGCTACATGTAATGGATAAAAGAAAGGCTGATTAAAAGCAGATTAAAAACTCAGGCGAGATAAAACAGAAACAGATTATTTGCGGAGGAGAGCTCATTATAGTGGAGGTCGTGGAACCAAGTTTTCCCACACGGGGAGATGCACTCCAATGACAAGACAACAACAACAACAACAAACGTTGAGGCTGAACACTAGTGTGAGTTTGTAAATCTATTCATCAAATACGCAGCAGAAGAGCCAGGTTTTAAGGTTCTTTTTAAAGGTTTCTAGGGTAGGGGCTTTCCTAATCTCTCCAGGTAGTGAGTTCCAGAGCTTGGGGTTGGAAAGAAAAACCATAATTACCATGCATTTCCCTGAATCATATGTGCCAACATAACCATAATTTCCATGCATTTTGTACTTTTTCATTCCCTTCTCCCTCTCCACTCCCACCCCTCCCTCTTCCCTGTTGACAACATAATCCTTTTTTCCTGTTACATGAGCCTGTTTTCGATTCTATCCATTTTTTTCTTCCAGCTTTCATCATCTGGTTTAACGACCTGTAACCATCTTTTAAAAGGAGTCCAAATTTCTTTAATTTTCTTCTGTTTGTCTGACCATGTCTTTTGGCTTCTTATGATGTCCATAGCATCCAGTTGTATTTGGTCCCACACATATTCATACCATTTTTCAAGTGTCCATTTCTTTTTTTTTTTCCGTTCCAACGCCAATCTATTACTGCTCTAAACATCATCATCATTAATTGTTGGTCTTGGTCCTTAACTCTTCTATCACCATATATTCCTATTAACAAAACTTGCATATTTATGTCAAATTTTATTTTAGTATGTAAAATAAATAAATTCTAGACCTGGTCTAGAATTTGGACTCCAAAATGTTTTGCATCTCTTCACACTCCCACCATAGATGTGAATACCATGCCTCCCGACTTCCACAATGCCAAGATTTAGGATTTAATCCCTGGTCGTGTCAGGAGTGACTTGAGAAACTGCAAGTCGCTTCTGGTGTGAGAGAATTGGCCGTCTGCAAGGACGTTGCCCAGGGGACGCCAGGATGTTTTTGATGTTTTATCATCCTTGTGGGAGGCTTCTCTCATGTCCCAGCATGAGGAGCTGGAGCTGATAGAGGGAGCTCATCCGCGCTCTCCCCGGATTCAAACCTGCGACCTGTCGGTTTTCAGTCCTGCCACTGCGCCACCAGGGGCTCCATTGGCACTCAGCACTAAGATGACTGTATTACATGAATCTAATGCGCATCCTAATTTTGGCAAGGTCATTTAGCCCCAAAAAGTGAGCATTATATTTTAGTAAATATGGTAGCCACAGCTCTAGGATCAAAGCCTGCCTATGATCTTCTGCCTTCAGCAAGACTAGTTCAGACAGTGGAGTTCCCCTTTATATTTCCAGACATGAAGTCTGATAGGAATAGGAAGTGTACACTAGTGTTTTACAGCAGATACCTTAGGTAATGTTTCTCAACCTTCCTCAGGCCACGACCCCTTAATACAGTTCCTCATGTTGTGGTGACCCCCAACCATAACATTATTTTTGTTGCTACTTCATAACTCTAATTTGGCTACTGTTATGAATCGTCATTTAAGTATCTGATATGCAGGATGTGTTTTTATTCACTGGACTAAATTTGGCACAAATACCCGATACACCCAAATCTGAATACTAGTGGGGTTGCGGGGATTTTGTCATTTGGGAGTTGTAGTTGCTGGGATTTATAGTTCACCTGCAATCAAAGAACATTCTGAACTCCACCAACAATGATGGAATTGAGCCAAACTTGGTACACAGAACTCCCACAACCAACAGAAAATACTGGAAGGGTTTGGTGGGCATTTACTTTGAGTTTGGGAGTTGTAGTTCACCTACATCCAGAGAGCACTGTGGACTCAAATAATTATGGATCAGGACCAAACTCGGTATGAATACTCAATATGCCCAAATGTGAACACTGGTGGATGTTGGGAGTTATAGTTGCTGGGATTTATAGTTCACCTGCAATCAAAGAGCATTCTGAACTCCATCGATGATAGAATTGGGCCAAACTTCCCACACAAAACCCCCATGACCAACAGAAAGGTTGAGAAACACTGCCTTAAGTATTTATATTTCATAGCTTTGGGATGTATACGATTGTCAGTAATATTTCACAATTTGGATTGGATGCTAGGTGACAGATCGAATGCTGAGGGCAGTTTAGATCTAATGATATTCTCCTGACGAACATCATGCTTAAGTGAGATTTCAAATGTGATTGTTCATTATGTGTTTTAATATCGAAAGATTGATAAATTATCTGGTTTGTAATACACAGTATTGTAAAAAGGACTGAATATTCCTCCCCGCCTCCCTCCTCCAGGGACTCACACTGCTGCTGCTCCAGGGCCAGCTTATACTTGTAGTAGCCGTAGAAGTCTCCCCCAAAGAGGAAGGAGAATTTGGGGTTCTCCTTCTGCTTCTCCATTGTCATCTTCTCAAACTCCGGGCCATTCCGGGCCACAAACTGGGCCAGCTTGTCAATGACATTGCGAAGCTCTTGGTCTGATGAAAGAGGGACAGGAGAGTTAGACAAGCGAGTCAGGGGACAAAACACTCACAGCATGATAAACAGAGAGAGATTATATAGAGAGGTTTAGAGTTATATACATATACACACACACATATATAACATTCTTACTTATAATTCCATATTATTATTTACATTTATTAAATTCAGACTCAATAATAATAAAAATAATAATAAACTTTATTTATACCCGGCTCCTCTCACCGAAAGGACTTGGGGCAGCTTACAACATAAATAAATACAATGAATAGTATATGCAAAGTAAAAATAAACCAGATAATAACATGCCAAATCAATAATATATAGGATGGAAGGGACCCAATGGAAGGCTTTGCAGGAAAAATATAAATTATATTGAAAGGGGCTTCACATGAGTGTCACATTTACATAGCAGCTTACATATTAATCCAGTGTCACATTACACGATAAATCAGGCCTGGGATAACTTCGGCCCTTCCTACAGTTGTTTTGAACTCTCACAATTTTTATGATTATTTCTGTAAGTATGTTTGTCAATATTTCTGCAAATGTTTTAATAAACATTTATTTTCATTTCTGAGAATATTTTTGTGTATTTTAATGAATATTTTTAATGATTTCTGAAAGTATTTTGTGCATATTTTAATGGATATAATTTTTGTGAATATTTCTGCAAATATTTCAATGAATATTTTTAATGATTTCTGTAAAAATTGTGTGTATTTTAATGAATACTTTGTAATATTTCTGCAAATATTTTAATATATTCGGTTATTTCTGAAATTATTTTGTGAACATTTTAGATTATTTCTGCAAATATTTCTTAGTATTTTGTGAATATCCCCGAAAATATTTTAATGAATATGTTATAACTTTGTGAATACTTCTGCAAATATTTTAATGAATATTTTTGATAGTTTCTGTAAAAATTGTGTGTACTTTAATGAATATTTCTGCAAATATTTTAATGAATATTTTTGATTTCTGCAAATATTTTGAGCATATTTTAATGACTATATTACAATTTTTGTGAATATTTCTGCAAATATTTCAGTGAACATTTTTGATTTCTGTAAAAATTGTGGGTACGTTAATGAATATTTTGTGAATATTTCTGCAAATATTTTAATGAATATTTTTGATTTCTGAAAATATTTTGAGCATATTTTAATGACTATATTATAATTTTTGTGAATATTTCTGCAAATATTTCAATGAATATTTTTAATGATTTCTGTAAAAATCGTGTGTATTTTAATGAATACTTTGTAATATTTCTGAAAATATTTTAATATATTTGGTTATTTCTGAAATTATTTTGTGAACATTTTAGATTATTTCTGAAAATACTTTTGAGCATTGTATTGTCGAAGGCTTTCATGGCCGGAATCACTGGGTTGTTGTAGGTTTTTTCGGGCTATATGGCCATGTTCTAGAGGCATTTTCCTGACGTTTTGCCTGCATCTATGGCAAGCATCCTCAGAGGTAGTGAGGTCTGTTGGAAGTAGGAATATGGGTTTATATATCTGTGGAATGACCAGGGTGGGACAAAGGACTCTTGTCTGCTGGAGCTAGATGTGAAACTTTTGAGCATTTTCGTGAATATGTTGTGAATTCCCCTGAAAATGTTTTTTTAAGGAAATTTTATTAAATTTTATATAGAATACAACGAAAGAGTGAGAACAATAAGGTATAGAAAAGCAAAGAAAAAGAGAGAGAGGGAAAGGCCAATAAAGTAAGAAGTAAAAAAGGTATCCTAAATAAAACCCTAAATAAATAAATAAAAATAAACTACAAGAATACATCCACACACACACACAAATTAGAAATAAAAATGAAAGAAAAAAAGTGACTTCCATTCCTTTTTTTATAATTTTTTTTAAAATTATTATTATTGTATAATACATAGAAACATACCATCTTTGAAAGTAACATTCAAAATACCATTTTTTTCCCAATCCTGCCACCACCACAATCCCCCCCCCCCCCCGGGGAACAAATAAATACTTTAGCTGTGTTTATTACAATTGTTCAATCATGAGAATAGTTTTGTTCAACACCGCATATTTATCTTTCCCCTTTATTCTATATATGAGACCTTTCCATTTTGCTTTCCATGTCTTTTTGCTTTGACCCGTCATATAGTAACTTTTCCTTTCGCTAATATAATCTTGAAGAAGGTAATCTGCTAAATATTTGTACCAGGTTTTTGTATCCCATTTCTTGTGGTCTTTCCAGCCCAGGGCCACTGAGGCTTTAATTCCCTCTATCATACGTTTTATTATTTCCTCACTTTCCTTATATTCCTCTTTATTTTCGAATTTCTGAGTGAAAAATTGGGCCTTATTCCATTCTATCTTGATCCCTAATAGCTCATCCATTTCTTTCCTGATTATTTCTTGGAACTTTTGGATTTTTTCACATTCCCACCACATGTGGGAAGTGACTTCCATTCCATCTGAATGGAAGTTCCCCTGAAAACGTTTCAATTAATATTTCTGAAAATCTTTTTGGACTATTTTTGTGAATATTCCTGACTATTTTTTGGTTATTTCTGAAAATATTTTGAGTATTGTAATGAATATTTGTATGAATATTCTTGCGAACATTTTAATGGATATTTCTGCTTCTTTCTGCCAATATTTTGGTGAATACTTCTACCAATTTTTTAATCATTATTTTAAAAAAATTGGAATAACGGCTGAGAGTAAAAACCTGTTTCGAAAGATTAAAAATGGGATGGGATATTCATGAGGCCTTGGAGGCCTGTCCCCCGCCCTCTCTCTCTCTCTCTCTCGGGAAGTCTCCCTTTGCCCGTCCCCTGAGCATGGGCAGAGTGCGAATGAGCCGGGGCCTTACCTTCAGGCGGGGGCGGCGGCATCTCCATGGTGGCGCTGGTCGAAAGAGACCACTCCGAGTGAGTGAGGTCCTCCTCAGCGGCGCGACTAGGCCGCACCAGCCGTCAAGGGAGCCCCTTTGGCGGGGCTGAGCACGACACTCCCCCGCGCGCCCGCACTTTGCGGCAGCAGCGCCGTCGCCTTAGGAACCGCGCCAACCTCCGTCCCGTCTGCCTCCGCGCGCGTGCGCAGTGAGCGCCAGTGGGAACCAAATCTCCGCCGGCCGCATTTGCTCCATCGCCAGGAAAGTGGGCGGGGCTGCCCGTCTTGTTAAGCCCCGCCCACTCCGGAAAGAGACCGGGGCAACTCCCACCATTCCTCACAGCCTCAGGTCCTTTCCTTTTCCTTTTCCATTTCCGCTTTGAGGGGGAAAAGGAAGGGGCCTGAGGCTGTAAGGAATGGTGGGAGTTGGAGTCCAAAACACCTGGAGGGAAGGAAGGAGGGTCCAAATTGGCCTAGGACTAGGTTCTTGTGGATTTTTTCGGGCTATAGAGCCATGTTTTAGAGGCATTTCTCCTGACGTTTCGCCTGCATCTATGGCAAGCATCCTCAGAGGTTGTGAGGTCTGTTGGAAGTAGGAACAATGGGTTTATATATCTGTGGAATGGCTGGGGTGGGGCAAGGAGCTCTTCCCTGCTGCAGTTAGGTGTGAATGTTTAGCTGATCACCTTCATTAGCATTTGGAGGCCTGCCTGAGCCTGGGAAAATCCTCTTGCTGGGAGGTGTTAATCTGTGCCTGGTTGTTTCCTCTCTGCTGTTTTGCTGTTGTAATTTTAGAGTTTTTTAATACTGGTAGCCAGATTTTGTTCATTTTCATGGTCTCTTCCTTTCTGTTGAAATTGTCCACATGCTTGTGGATTTCAATTGCTTCTCTGTGTAGTCTGACATGGTGGTTGTTGGTGTGGTCCAGCATTTCTGTGTTCTCAAATAATATGCTGTGTCCAGGTTGGTTCATCAGGTGCTCTGCTATGGCTGACTTCTCTGGTTGAAGTAGTCTGCAGGGCCTTTCATGTTCCTTGATGCGTGTCTGGTGCTGCGTTTGGTGGTCCCTATGTAGACTTGTCCACAGCTGCATGGTATACGGTAGACTCCTGCAGAGGTGAGAGGATCCCTCTTGTCCTTTGCTGAACGTAGCATTTGTTGGATTTTCTTGGTGGGTTTGTAGATTGTTTGTATGTTGTGTTTCCTCATCAGCTTCCCTATGCGATCAGTGGTTCCCTTGATGTATGGCAGGAACACTTTTCCTCTGGGTGGATCTTCATCTTTACTCTCGTGGCTTGTTCTTGGTCTTGGCCTTCGACAATACATTGGCCTAGGACTGTTGTAAATCATCGTCCCCTCCTGAGAATCACAGAAGAGACCTCATGGGCCATCCAGTCCAACCCCCTGCCAAGAAGCAGGAATATTGCATTCAAATCACCCCTGACAGATGGCCATCCAGCCTCTGTTTAAAAGCTTCCAAAGAAGGAGCCTCTACCACACTCCGGGGCAGAGAGTTCCACTGCTGAACAGCTCTCACAGTCAGGAAGTTCTTCCTCATGTTCAAGTGGAATCTCCTATCTGCAGTTTGAAACCATTGCCCCATTATGTCCTAGTCTCCAGGGCAGCAGAAAACAAGACTTCCCTCCTCCCTGTGACTTCCCCTCACCTCTGGATGCATGGCACATTCATGTCTCCTCTCAGCCTTCTTTTCTGAAGACCAAACATGCCCAGCTCTTTCAGTTGCTCCTCATAGGGCTTGTTCTCCAGACCCTTGATCCTTTGAGTCGCCCTCTTCCTCTGGACACATTCCAGCTAAGAGTCAATACCTCCCTTCAATTGCCTGGAATTGGACACAGTGTGATTTCAGGTAAAGTGGTCGGACCAAAGCAGAATAGAATAGAGCATGGGGAGCAGGACTTCCCTGGATCTAGGCACTAGGCTCCTATTTATGCAGGCCAAAATCCCATTGGCTTTTTTAGCTGCCGCATGACATTGCTGGCTCATGTTCCCCTTCCTCCCCAACTCTCACAGTCAGGACTAGATGGCCCATCAGGTCTCTTCCAACCCTTTGATTCTATGAGTCTTTGCAGTCCGATCTTTAGACCACACCTGGAATATTGTGTCCAATTCTGGGCACCACAATTGAAGGGAGATATTGACAAGCTGGAATGTGTACAGAGGAGGGCGACTAAAATGATCAAGGGTCTGGAGAACAAGCCCTATGAGGAGCAGCTTAAGGAGCTGGGCATGTTTAGCCTAAAGAAGAGAAGGCTGAGAGGAGATATGATAGCCATGTATAAATATGTGAGAGGAAGCCACAGGGAGGAGGGAGCAAGCTTGTTTTCTGCTTCCTTGGGGACTAGGACGTGGAACAATGGCTTCAAACTACAAGAGAGGAGATTCCATCTGAACATGAGGAAGAACTTCCTGACTGTGAGAGCCGTTCAGCAGTGGAACTCTCTGCCCCAGAGTGTGGTGGAGGCTCCTTCTTTGGAAGCTTTTAAACAGAGGCTGGATGGCCATCTGTCAGGGATGCTTTGAATGCAATATTCCTGCTTCTTGGCAGGGGTTGGACTGGATAGCCCATGAGGTCTCTTCCAACTCTATGATTCTATGAAGCCTGTAATGACAGGACCAAGGAATGGTTTTGGCCTTTGTAAGCTGCATCGAGTCCTTCGGGAGATTTTACGGGATATAAATAAAGTTAATAATAATAATAATAATAAGGAATGGACATCTTCGGCTCATCCTCTGTTCGGATATCAGCCAGTGTGCTAATGTCTTAAATCAAGAAATAGTTTCCTAAGATCTACAGAGATACTCGCAGGAACACCTCAGCGAGAGTCCAAAAGTGGCAGGCCAAAACCCGGAACCTGGATCAGTGTCCGAGACTGGATGAGGGACTCCCCCCGGTCACACAGAAGACTGGGTGACTTGGAAGACGCTGAACAGACTGCACTCTTGACACCACGTACAGAGACAATCTTAAGAAATGGGGTTGCAAAGTGGAGTCTGCAACATGTGAATGCGGAGAAGAGCAAACCACAGACCACTTACTACAATGCAGCCTGAGCCCTGCCATATGCAGAATAGAGGACCTCCTTAGCAACACCAGAGGCACTCCAGTTGGCCAGCTTATGGTCAGAACACATTTGGTGCAATGCCAAGTTTTTAACTTTGTGATTTTTATGCATTACTAGCTGTCCCCTGCCACGCGTTACTGTGGCCCAGTCTGTTGATCTGGAAAATGAAATAATGAGAAAGTGTTGGTTTCTAATATTTATAATTTCTTTATGCTTGTGGGTAAACAGTATTTCTTGCTGTTTCTTTGTTAGTGTTGATGTGGAGAGTGTCTGGTTGCCCACCCTCTAACATTCAACAGATCATTGTCCTTTAGGGGTCCCTTTCAAATCTATGTTACTATATCTCTCTCTGTGTGTGAATCATATCTATCAATCAATCAATCTATCTATCTGTCTATCTATCTCTATGACTGGATGGCTCTTTGTCAGGAGGACTTTGTGTTTTCTTGCCCTAGTGAAGGGAGTTGGATTGGATGGCCTTAAGTATTTTCTGATGGTCATGGGGGTTCTGTGTGGGAAGTTTGCCCCGATTCTGTCATTCGTGGGGTTCAGAATGCTCTTTGATTGTAGGTGAACTATAAATCCCAGCAACTACAACTCCCAAATGACAAGTTCTATTTTCCCCAAACTCCACAAGTGTTTACATTTGCGCATATTGAGGATTTCTGCCAAGTTTGGTCCAGATCCATCATTGTTTGTGTCCACTGTGCTCTCTGGATGTAGGTGAACTACAACTCCCAAACTCAAGGTCAATGTCCACCAAACCCTTCCAGTTTTTTCTGTTGGTCATGGGAGCCCTGTGTGCTAAGTTTGGCCCAATTCCATCATTGGTGGAGTTCAGAATGCTCTTTGATTGTAGGTAAACTATAAATCCCAGCAACGACAATTCCCAAATGACAAAATCATTTTTTTTGAGTGGAGGACATACATTGGGTTGTTAGGTGTCTTGTGTCCAAATTTGGTGTCAATTCTCCCAGTGGTTTTTGAGTTCTGATGGTAGCACGAACTAACATTACATTTTTATTTATATAGATTATATAGGTCAGTATTGTGATTTTTTTACATCATTATTATTCTTATTTCACAGACAAAAAAACAACAAAAACTTGTATAGCCACAAGCATTATGAAATTATATATATCAGAAACCAGCTCTTTCTTTTCCATTTAACCAGACTGAGCCACAGCAACACGTGGCCGGGTACAGCCAGTAGTAGTAGTAGTAATAATAATAATAACAGTCCCAGCTCCCCTTGTTTCTCTCTCTGCCCGGAACAAACATAGTGTGCGGACTCCATCCCCACTTTGCAGAATTCATCTTTATTTACATCTTCCCATATTTCAAAACGTATAATTACAACATGTGTGGGCTTTTCGCCTCCTGGTTAGAAGCTTACAAGCTTTCCACACACACACACACACGCAAAGAATCCTAATTCCTGTACACTGAAACTCAAAACTTTTCTAAGTCCTACATTTGCATCCCATTAAGTCCCTTTTTGAAAAAGCAAGCCGACTTCCAGTTGCTTCTGTAGCCTGTGATCCCAGACTCTTGGGAAGCTCCAGCTCTTTGAAGGAGAGCAAGAACCAAGTCCTTGTAAGATATAAGGAGGTGATTTTAAAATATGTTGCTCTGTCGAAGTTGAGAAAAAGCAAATCGTCATCGTCACTGGCGCTTTTATTGGATTCCTACTCTTTTGCCCTGGAGAGTCACAGAAGTCGTCATGAGAACATGCCCAAAAAGGCAACACGCTTGCCGAACACACACACGTACATACAAACACGTCGAGTTTTCTCTTCGGGAACGAAACAGGCCCAAAATCTCAAAGGGGATCCCAATGGCTCCGGAAGCCACAAACCTGACATAAAGACAGCAGTGCTTTAAAGAGAGAGAGAGAGAGAGAGAGAGAGAGAGAGAAAGAGAGAAAGAGAGGGAAAGGCAAGGGAGCGCTTGGTAGGAAAGCAGGGCACAAAAGGTTATCCATGGGAAGGGAGGCTTGTCAAAAGTTTCTGGCAAAGGACCCCCTTCTCTGTGACTCCAAGGGGTTCGTAAATAAAGTTCATGATTACAAGCAGGAGGAAAACCCAGGCACCTGTCCGTCTGTCTTTCCGACCAAAACAATCCTCGGCGCAGTGCATGATTCTGTACAAAACCCAAACAAGAGGGCCTTCGTTCCAGGGCTGAGTCCGCCCTTCCCGAGGGGAAGGCCGGCCCCTCTCTGCGCCCCATAGGCAGCCATAGCAGGGGTTAGGAGGAAGCGCACACTCTTTCACGCACGCACACGCACACACGTTCACTAAGGCTAACACAATAGAACAAACTGCGTCTTTCTCCTCCTTGTCATCATAAGGAAAAAGAAGAGGAGGAGAGGAGGAGGAAGAGAACAAGAGGAGGAGGAGGAGGGGAAGAAAAGGAAGAAGAGGAACAGTAGAAGCAGACGACGAAGAAGAGGAGGGGAACAAGAAGGGGAGGAAGAGTAGGAGAGGAAGAAGAGGAGGAGAAAAAGGAGAAGAAGAGGAGGGGAAGAAAAGGAAGAGGAGGAGGAAGGGAGGAAGAAGGGGGGAGGAGGAAAAAAAGAGGAGGAGAGAAAGAGAAGAGGAAGAAGAGAAGGGGAAGAAAAGGAAGAGGAGGAGGAAGAGAGGAAGAAGGGGAGGAGGAAAAAAAGAGGAGAAGAGAAAGAGAAGAGGAAGAAGAGGAAGAGGGGAAGAAAAGGAAGGAGAGGAGGAAGAAGAGGAGGGGAAGAAAAGGAAGACGAAGAAGAGGAAGAGGAGAGGAAGAAGCAAAGACAGGGAAGACAAAGAAGAGGAGGAGAGGAAGAAAGGGAAGATGAAGAGGAGAGGAAGAAGAGAAGAAGGCAGGGAAGACAAAGAGGAGGACAGGAAGGAAAAGGGGAAGAACAAGAAGGAGATGAAGAGAAGAAGGAGGAGAGGAGGAAGAGAACAATAGGAACAAGGAGAAGAAAAAGGAGAGAAGGAGGAAGAGGAGGGGGTGAGGGAGAGATGCTTGCGAGCTGCCTTACAGCTCAGTAGGCAGCAAGAGTGACTGAAGCGGAGGGAGAAGAGGAAGCAGTGGAAAAAGGAGGAAAGCCTTGGGCCAGATGACATGGGCCAATTTCGGCCCTCCCTCCCTCACGGTGTTCTGGATTTCAAGTCCCACAATTCCCAACAGCCTATGCCTGCCTTAAAAAAGAGAGGGGAGATCAAAAAAGGCATGAGAAAGAGTGAAGGAATTTGGGAGACAGATCAGCATTGCCAGCCATCTGCATGTAGAGGCAGAGAAAGATCTCCAACTGACCCAACAGAAAGGGGAAGAGGGAGAAAAACTGGGCAGGGAGATTGTTTTCAGAAACACATGTTGTTTAGGAACACACACACACAGAGATGCTGAATGGAAGGGTGAAACAGAGAGAAACCTACAGAGAGGAACCATCTGGAGGGCCAATGTTGGCCCTTGCCTGGGTTCAAGGGATGGTGTTTGGGGCTCTCCTGCATGCCTGGGGCCCTGGCCCCACATGCAAACCACCGGCCTTGCAGGGCCTCCCTCCCCTGGCGCAGACCACGTTCCTTGCCCACACCAGCCTTCTTCCCACTGGACCCCCAATCAACCACAGAGAACCACTCCCCGGGAATCTCAGAAGTCCACCTCTCTGGCTAGATATCATAGCGGCTGGAGCTGTACAAGTTCGGGTAGTTCTGCCGTCCATACTGGAAGTGATCGGCCAAGACGCCCCCCCGTCCTCCGTACTGGAAGTCCCCGTGGTGGTGGTGGTGAAGGCCACTGCCTCCGCCAAAGGAGCCCATTCCATTCTGGGCCTTTTCCAAGGCGATGCGGCGCTGCTGCTGCTGCTGGTGCTCCAGGCTCACCAAGTCACCCGTCGTGATCGGGAGGAGGTGTTGCTGCTTCTTGGCTTCCTGGTTGGCATCGTACTTCGTCTGTAGGGAGAAATGGGCACAAAAAAGCAAGGACCACGCTGCTGGTGTGACTTAGAAAACGTAGTGAATCCCAAAAAGTTTAAAACGAGTTTGGACAGGGCTTCTCACACTTTTTCAGCTGTGGAGCCCCTTTTTGAAGCAGAAGTTTCTCGTAGAGCCCCAAGACACTCTCTGCCTCACAATGTCACGGAAGCTCCTTCCTTGGAAACTTTTCAACAGATTCTGGATGGCCAGCTGTCAAGGATACTTTGATCATGCTTTTCCTGCATGGCAAGGGGTTAGACTAGAACTGCTCATTGAACCAAGGAGATGCTTTAGCTCTTCTACTCGAGAGGGAACGTTCTGGAGCAATCATGTCTATTGTCCTAGCCATCTCCCTATTTCAGAGAGTGACCAGAGCATCAATAGGATCACCTATCGAAGCAGTGGGAAAATCCCAAGAACCGTAAGAAATCTGTCCGGATCCATAAGTCTCCTGGGGCGGACCATCTTAATGGGTCCTCCACCCCTGCAGAGGTTGGGGGGGGGGGTCACTGAGCCTAAACTTGATCAAGTAGTGGTTGGTCCATGGCAAAAGAGAGATGGTTAACTCCTCTACCCCACCACCTTCCTCCCATCCCTGGCAGAAAACCAGATCTAATGTGTGTCCAGCACAATGAGTAGGGCCAGATATTATTTGGGACAGCCCCATGCTTGCCATGGAAGACATGAAGTCCTGAGCCACTCCTGACAGGGTGGACTCTGTGTGGATGTTGAAGTCCCCCAGCACTATAAGCCACTGGGACTCCAACGCCAGGCCCGAGACCACCCTGGCTCCTTCAGGCAGGGAGGTTGTAGTGCAGCGAGGTGGTCGGTACACTAACAGAATTCCTATTTTGTCCCGGTCACCTACCTTCAGGTGTACACATTCAAACATGGTTGACTGTGGGATAGGGCATCTGGTCAAGGAAATGGAATCCCTATAGACCACTGCGACCATCCAGCCTCATTAAAATTAATATAATAATAATAAAAATAGAGTTGGAAGAGACCCTTAAAGGTCATCCAGTCCAGCCCCCTTATGCCTTCCTGCAGGAAAAGCACAAAGCAACCCCAACAGATGACCATCCAACCTTTGTAGTTGTAGTAGCAATAATACTAATAATAGGAGCAACTTTAGGGCCACCCAGTCCTACGCCCTTTATCCTGCCATGCAGGAAAAGCACACCCTGAGCGGTGAGAGGGAAATAGGGTTTTGGAAGCAAGAAAAGCAAGTGGGGAAGGTTTGAAGGGTGAGAAGGAGGGAGGGAACCGTGGGGCCCCTCAATATGCTTCATCGAGCCCCAAGGGCCCCACCGAATAAATTTGGAGAACTGCTGCTGGAATGTATCCACACAACCCTCTCTTTCTCCTACCTTGTTGTAGAGGAAGACCCCTAAGATGGCGGTCATCATGCCCAGCACGTTGGTGCTGGTGACCGGGTTGCGGAGCATGATGAGGGAGACGGTGATGACAGTGATGCGCTTGGTGGCATTGGCGACTGAGTAGCTCAGCGGGCTGATCAGGTTCAGGATGCTGAAGGCGATGACATTCTGGGCAAAGTTGCAGAAGCCGGAAATGGCCAGGAGGAGGATAGTCCAGGGCCAGTGCGCCATCGAACTCTGCGGGAGGGAGAGTACATTCTGATTTTAATTTTCAAAATGTGTATGTCACTGTAGATGAGGTTCCTAGAACTACAGGGTGAGGCAGCATAACTTCCTTTTTTTAAATGCGTGCCATTCAGTTGGTTGAAGACATAGCGGAGCACTAGTGGTCTCGTTCGAGAGGCAGGAGTATAAAGTTTTGTCCTGACACAGTTCAGTCGCCATCATGCGTTGGAACAGTGAGGAGTGTGCTTTTGCCGTTGAGGCCTACTTTTCGAGTGGATTTGGAGTGGCTGGCCCGCTCTCCAGATTTGGCCCCTTGTGATTTTTTTCTATGGGTTTTTTTGAAATCCCGTGTTTATGTGAACTGTCCAAGGACCCGACAAGATTTGAAGACCAACATCCAGGAAGAAACTGCCAACATAACGCCTGCTATGCTGGCAAGAGTCATGACAAACGCCAGAAATCGGTTTACTCAGTGTCTGGAGAATGGGGGACGTCATCCACCTAATTTGATCTTCAAAACTACGTAAAATAAAACTTTAGGTATGCGCTTACATTATTAAAAAAAATAAAAATGTCTGATTCATACAATGGGTTTTATTAAGTTTTGAAAAAAGGAAGTTATGCTGCCTCACTCTGTATATACCATAGCTTGGTATATGTGTTCAACTGAATGCAAATACAAACTGAAGTGGATTTGGGGGCCATGTCAGCTCTACTTTTAATTTCTCTAAGATGACATCTTTCAAAGAGGAGGCCCAGATGCATCTCCTAAAGCAGCTCCCCCTTTTGCTTTGGATGAGCACTAAGATTAACATATAATAATAATAATAATAATAATAATAATAATAATAATAATAATAATAATAATAATTTTACTTCTAATCACCTCTCCTCGTGGCTTGAGTCGGGTTACAATATAACTAAAAACAAATAAACATTTCTATAGAAGATACATACTAAAATGTATTTCTACAAAATACATTTTATTTATTTATTTATTTATTTATTCCGCCTCCCACAAGGATGACAAAACATCAAAAATCATCCGGCCATCCCCTGGGCAACGTCCTTGCAGACAGCCAATTCTCTCACCCCAGAAGCGACTTGCAGTTTCTCAGGTTGCTCCTGACACGACAAAAAAAATTCTGCCCTTCTCACCCTGAAGGGGACTCAGGGCAGATCACAAAACATACATATGTGGCAAACATTCACTACATGGACAAGACAGACAACTGTACATAGAATCATAGAGTTGGAGGAGATCTTGTGGCCCATCTAGTCCAACCCCATTCTGCCAAGAAGCAGGAAAATCACTTTTAAAGCACTCCCGATAGATGGCCATCCAGCCTCTGATTCAAAGCCCCCACCACACTCTGGGGCAGAGAGAGAGAAAGTTCCACTGCTCAACAACTCTCCATACAGTCAGGAAGTTCTTCCTAATGTTCAGGTGGAACCTCCTTTCCTTTAGTTTGAAGCCATTGTTCCACGTCCTAGTCTCCAGGGCCGCAGAAAATAAGCTTGCTCCATCCTCCCTATGATACAGATCGAAATCTATATATAGGGTTTCCCATCTTCAGCATCTTGGAGGCTTGTGCTTGGATCTGGCCATGGGGTGTGTGTGTGTGCTGTTGCTCCATCTTCCCTGCCAAAGAGCTTTGTTTGTAAACTTCCTCTTTGCCCAAATCACCAGCATTTTTCTGGCATTTCCTTATGAGTGCCTTAAATAACTCCCTGCTTTTAAAGCGGTACCTATTTATCTATTCACGTTTGCTTTCAAACTGCTAGGTAGGCAGAAGCTGGGCTAAAGGCTAGGAGCTCACCTTGACCCAGGTTTCGAACTACCAACCTTTCGACTGGCAAGATTGACTACAACTGGTGGTTAACCTGCTGTGCTAAAGCCCGGCCTTGCTGTGTTTATTTAGTTACATCCAGGATAGACTATTGCAACGCGCTCTATGTGGGGTTGTCTTTGAAGACAAGCTTCAAATAGTCCAACAAGAGGCAGCCAGGTTACTAACTGGGGTGGCATACAGGGAGCACACAACTCCCATGTTACATCAGCTCCACTGGCTTCCTGTTTGCTACCGGGCACAATTCAAAGGCTGGCTTTGGCCTATAAAGCCCTAAACGGCCCCTGCCCAGTTTAACTGTCTGAATGCATCTCCCTTTACGAACCACTGTAGAAACTAAGATCTTCTGGGGAGGCCCTGCTCTCAGTCCCGCCACCATCACAGGTGCATTTGGAGGGGACAAGAGACAGGGCCTTCTCAGTGATTGCCCCCTCGTTATGGAACTCCCTTCTTGGCAATATTAGATCAGCCCCCTCCCTCCTGTCTTTCAGAAGGATGGTGAAGACCTGGCTGTGGGACCAAGCCTTTGGGGCAGTGCAATAAGGCAAAATGGTGTCCTGAGATGGTTTTTAAGCAACTTTTAATGTGAATATAAGTTATTTTAATGTTTAGAAATATTTATGGTTTTATGTCCTGCCATTGAATGTTTGATGTACATATTTTATGCTCCCTACGGGGTGAGAAGGGCGGAATATAAATGTTTTAAATAAATAAACAAACAAACAAATAAATAAATAATACCATAAATAAATAAATACATATTAAAATATACATAGGAGAGATTAAACACAAAGATATGAATTTAAAAGTTATGCTTAAAGCTGGCTAAGTAGTTTTTAACACAAATCTAATTGTGTACTCTTTTGGGAAGGTGAGCTTTATTCAATGCAGCCCTCTTTTCCAAACCCCAGCAGCAAACCAATGTGATTGGGAAACCCAAAGACAGCGCAAGGGGAATGTCTCCCTTCCCAAACCTACCAAGTCATTCTCGACAAGAAAGGAAGACAGATCCACCAGGACCCACGTCGGGATCATGAAGAAGACGGCATGGCAGCCCAGGATGTTCAGCAAGCGAAGGTGATGGATGCGGGAATCCCTCAAGACCTGAAAGAACAGATCTTTCAGAAGGAGACCCATTGCTTTATTTATTTTTATTTATTTCATATACTTGTACCCCGCCCTTCTCACCCCCGAGAAGGACTCAGGGCGGTCTCAGAGCAAACACCATTTGGTGCCATCATAATGATATGAACAATCAACAAATTCATTAAAACAAAACATTAAATAAACAGTTGTTAAAACACGCCAATTAAAATCCGGGTCCGGGTCAATTCATTGCTACTTCGAAATTGCTTATGTCTTCTTCATATAAGCTTTGGCACCTGACTTCACGCAGTTCCTCCTAAACTCAAGGCCAGGCAAACAAACCCCTCACATGCCTCTCTATAGTGCAAAATGAGAAATGCGAGTCCGCAAGAGATGCTCTCCGATGGACTTCAGCAGGTTTTCACTTCCTTTAAAGGATCTTATAAGGACGATAGGAGGGCGCTATCACTCCTGCCCTCTTTCTCCCCTCTTTGGAAAAACTTTATAGTAATTCTTGCTGCCTTAAGAAAGCTCACAATATTCTTAAGGATCCAGCTCACTTTCAATAGTCCTCTTCTGAATTAATGATACAAACAAATAGGCTGAGAGAGAGGTTGGACTCTATATTGAGCTCTAAGGTTTCACACTGATGTGGCATTATTGCACAAGAGCGATTCAAATCTGATTAGAAGGAGAGGTGCTTTGTTTTGTAATTGTACAAATATAATGTGCATTGGGGATGGCAACGAATTTCATTGTACAGTAGAGTCTCGCTAATCCGACATGGGTGGTTTACCACCGCCTCCTCCTGAAAAAAATGTATAATATCAAAAAGGACTACCACCTCACCCGCCTCATAGGAAACCTACTACAAAGCAGGAGCTTTTTTGTTGAGTTCCAGGGCCAGAGAAGCAGATGGCGGAAACAGAAGAACGGCCTGCCTCAGGGGAGCGTGCTTGCTCCAACTATGTTCAACATTTACACAAATGACCAACCACTGCCAGAAGGGACAGAGAGCTTCATCTATGCTGATGATCGTGCCATTACTGCTCAAGCAGGGAGCTTTGAGATGGTTGAAGAGAAGCTCTCCGAAGCTCTAGGTGCCCTTACCGCCTACTACGGGGAAAACCAGCTGATCCCTAATCCATCTAAAACACAGACATATGTTTTCCACCTTAAGAACAGACAAGCATCCCGAGCTCTGAGGATCACCTGGGAAGGAATCCCACTGGAGCATTGCAGCTCACCCAAATACCTGGGAGTCACTCTGGACCGTGCTCTGACCTACAAGAAGCATTGCCTGAATATCAAGCAAAAAGTGGGCGCTAGAAACAATATCATATGAAAGCTGACTGGCACAACCTGGGGATCACAACCAGACACAGTGGAAACATCTGCCCTTGCACTATGCTACTCTGCTGCTGAGTATGCATATCCAGTGTGGAACACATCTCACCACGCTCAAAACAGTGGATGTGGCTCTTGATGAGACATGCCGCATTATCACGGGGTGTCTGTACCCTACACCACTGGAGAAATTACACTGTCTAGCCGGTATTGCACCACCTGACATTTGTCGGGAAGTACCAGCCAATACTGAAAGGACCAAGGCAGTGAGATCTCCAGCTCATCCCGTTTGGATATCAGCCAGCACGTCAATGACTTAAATCAAGAAATAGTTTACTAAGATCTACAGAGACACTCGCTGGAACACCCCAGCAAGCGAGAGTCCAAAAGTGGCAGGCTCAAACCCAGAACCTCAATCAATGGCTGATACCAAATGAGAGATACCCCCCTCCCCCCCCGGGCACACAGAAAACTGGGCGACTTGGAAGGCGCTAAACAGACTGCGCTCTGGCACCACGAGATGCGAGTGTGGAGAAGAGCAAACCACTAACCACCTGCTGCAATGCAACCTGAGCCCTGCTACATGCACAATGGAGGACCTTCTTGCGGCAACACCAGAGGCACTCCAAGTGGCCAGATACTGGTCAAAGGACATTTAATCAACTACCAAGCTTGCAAACTTTGTGTTTTATCTGTTCGTTTGTTTTGTTAAAAATGTGATACAACTGTCTGGTTGCCCCTGACACGATAAATAAATAAATAAATCCGACATGAACAGGCCGGCACAACGTCAGATAAATGAAAATCTCAGATAATACGGAGTCTCCTACTGTTACCTGTCCGACGTGGTGCTAGACACCTAGAATACTAACAATAATAATAATAATAATAGAATACTAACAACAGAGACTCAAATGCAATGGAACACCTTAAGGCTAGAGCGGCCCAGCAGGAAGTACCCAGATGAGGAAGAGGAGCGTGGAAATCACAGAAGGAAGGAGGGAGGACACTTCTGCTTCTGGTCCTGCCTCTTTTCCCCCTTTTCTCCCTCCTCCTCGTCTTGCCTTTTCCACTTATTGGGAATGAAGAGAGAGTTGGGGAGAAAAGGGAGGTGTTGGCTAAGAGCATTGGATAAGACAGCAGGTCGGATAGGTGAGACTCTACTGCAAGGGTCCTCAAACTTTTAAAACAGAGGGCCAAGACACAGTCCCTCAAACTGTAGGAGGGCCGGATTATAATCTGAAAAAAAAACCATGAATGAATTGCTATGCACACTGCACATATCTTATTTGTAGTGCAAAAAAACTTAAAAACAATACAATAATTAAAATGAAGAAGAATTTTAACAAATATAAACTTATTAGTATTTCAGTGGAAAGTGTGGGCCTGGTTTTGGCCGATGAGAAAGGATTGTTGTTGTTGTTGTTGTGTGCTTTCAAGTCATTTCAGACTTAGGTTGATCCTGAGCAAGGGCCAGGTAAATGACCTTGGAGGGCCGTATCTGGCCCTCGGCCCTTAGTTTGAGGACCCCTGCTCTACTGTATCATGTACAATGACAATCAAGTTATTCTATTCTATCCTCTCTTTACTTATCTACCTACTTATTCATTTCTTTCTCTGTCTTCCTCTATCATCTCCTTATTGATCCACCCATCTATCCACCTATATATTCCCCTCTCCCTCTTTACTTATTTATCCACTTACCTACTTTTCTATCCATCATCTATCCACTTATCTGTCTCTCCATCCCTCCCACTATTCATCTCCCTTTAATCTGCCAATCCGCTTCTCTCTAGATTCATTCACCTCTCTCGTCTATTTATCAATCAATCCATCCCCCTTCTGGGTCGGTCTGTCCGTCCATACATCTATCTATCCACCAAGAAATTTGTCTCTTTTTCCATCTCTCTATCTTTTCACCTGCGACTTTTTCTACTTACCTCCCTCCCTATCCATCCATCTACCAATACATTTCTCTCCTCTTGACTATCTCTCTCTTCACCTGTGTTTTTCTCTACCATCTAGCTATTTAACCACCAACCCATCTATCTGATCATTTATCATTCCATTCACCAATACATCGGCACGAGGGGCTGTGCAATAGCAATTAGAATGTGGAAGGATGGATGTTTTTGTTTTGGTAATTGTACACACACACATATAATGTGCACTGGGGGTGGCATTTAATTTTGTTGTACAATGACAATAAAGTTATTCTATTCTATGCCACGTGGACCCGTCTTGAGAAACCCATGGATGCATATGTGAATTTCTGTTGGGTTTTCCTTAAGGTAAGGGATACTCAGAGACTATTTGGCTACAACCACCTTTGCACTGAATTCAGTTCGCCTTCAGGGGAAGGTGCATTATGGGCTCTTGACCTTTTGCCACGTCGAAAAACGCCTTCTCAAAAATCCACAATGACACAAGTGCTTTAGGTCACACTGAATCACCAAACCGGAGGAAGCCAGAATTAAGTTTCCTCATTTAATATTTGTATATTTTAAATTGTATTGTAATGTTTTAATGTTAGCCACTATGAGTCTCCTTATGGAGAGAAAAAGCAGAATAATAATAATAATAATAATAATAGTAATAATAATTAATCAGCCTTGCAACAAATCTGATAGTTCAGAGCAAAGGGAATTTGGCTTTTAATCTGCAAAGCTTTTCAATGCTAATCAAGCTGGCCAATTGCAACATTCACACTTGCCTCAAAGAGACACGAGTTCTTTCTCCCACCTTGGAAATTCCACAGACATATAAACCCCATTTTCCTAGTTTCCAACAGACCTCACAAACCTTTGAGGATGCCTGCCAAAGATGTGGGTGAAACGTCAGGAAAGAATGCTACTGGAACATGGTCATACAGGCTGAAAAACTCATAGCAACCCAGTGATTTTGGGCATGAAAGCCTTCAACAACACACTGTAAAAATTATTTAAATGTAGATATTAATCAAAATGGAGTTCTATAATATATATATATATTAATGTGAATTTCTACAAAATACACATTAAAGCACTGAATTCAGATTGCCCCCCTCCTTCATGTTTCAAAAACTGAAACATGGCTCTTACACCCTATTCTTCCAGCCTTCTCTTCTCCTAGCTAAACATCCCCAGCTCCTTATTTGATTACTTATTGGACTTCCTTTCACCACTGCCACCCTCTTCGCTTCATCTTCTACACAACAGTCACCACCAACTTCCTCCTTCTGAGATTACACAGGACCCCCCTTTTGCTTCTCGCAGGGAGAGCAGCCACCTTGGGACAGCAAAGACAAGCCAGCACTGAATCCTCGGAACATAAAGCGGGAAGAGGAAGAGGAGTCTGCTAACCTTCTTGGAGAAGATGTTTTGCAGCGAGAAGCAAAGGGTAGCGGCCAGGGCGCTGACCAGGCCCCACGTGTCGAAGGAGAGCTCTGTGATGGTGGCCAGCAGCACTCCACCGATGATGGGGACGAGGGAGAGGTAGACCTGGGAGAGGCGGGAAGAGAGGGGGGAGGGCGATGGAGGGAGGGGGGGACCTGAACCGGACCCATCCCCAGCGCCCTCATCTTCCCTGCAACATCATAGGGCAGGGGACCATGTTTCCCCCTTTCCCCTTACCTTGGTCGTCTGCTTTTCCTTCATGATGATTCTGGACAGCAGGACCACCCAGATGGGCATGGTTGCCTTCACTGGAAAGAGAAGGAGTCAGCCTGACATCAAGACCAGGAAAGATCTTGGAGCAGATCATTAAGGAGGCAGTCTGCAATCACTTAGAAAGGAATGCTGGGATCACTAAAAGTCAGCATAGATTCCTCAAAAACAAGTAATGAAAATAATCTATATAAATAAAAATGTAAATGTCCATTTGTAAGTGACCTCATAACTCTCAAAATACTTCAGTGATTCTTTGAAATTTGGCCACAACGTAGAAATCAAACACGCGAAGGTTTAAAGGTGGCCAAAATCCAACTACTATACAGATGTTACACCTGTGACAGATAAAAACATGTTTCACTTCAAAACCAGAATGGAACCCTAAGGGACCTTGCAGTGCCCCTGAACCCCATCCTGGAGAGCCGGCCCAAAAGGAGACCATGGTCAGTGGTATCAAAAGCCGCTGAGAGGTCCAGGATCACTTTGTAGATCATCCACCAAGGCCGAACATGATCATCTACCAAGGCTGAACAGGGTACACCCTCGTTACATCTACCGCAACACGTTCTACATGAGATTGCCTTTGAAGACTGTTCAGAAGCTCCAAATAGTTCAATGAGAGGCAGCTTCCGGACCCAGCTATCATACCATCACCTCAAGTTGGAACTGAGAAACCTTACACTTCCTTCGACAAGGTCCCCCCTGACCTTCTGGTAAGGAAACTAGTCCAATGTGGTCTCTTCAAACTTTATTATTATAATTGTTATTGAGGCGGGATGGAGTGGGGTCTCCTTCAGCTCCCTGGATCCTGATATGATGATAATATGATAGCTGGGGAGGTTGTGAATAAGAGAAGGGGAGAGCGGCACACTGAAGGCAGGAATTTATTTATTTATTTATTTATTATTTGAACTTATATGCCGCCACTCCCCTGGGGCTCGGAGCGGCTTACAAGAATGGCTAAAATCTAACAAAATTTAAAAGCAATTTTAAACAATTTAAAAACAGCAATATCAAACATTAAAATCCTGTCGAAACAGGTATGTCTTACATGCCCTGCGGAAAGCTGGTACGTCCCGCAAGGCACAGACTTCAGGTGGCAGAGTATTCCAGAGTGATGGTGCCACTGCTGTGAAGGCTCTGCGTCTGGTTGCTGTTAGACGCAAGGTCTTCACACTGGGGGCTTCCAATAGATCTTGGTCCTAAGAACGGAGGGATCTTTGGGGTTGGTAGGGGGTGAGGCGGTCCTTCAGGTACATCGGCCCCAGACCATGCAAGGCCTTAAAGGTGAGTACCATCACTTTGAAAGTGATCCGGTGCTCAATTGGTAACCAATGCAGCTGCAGTAAGATTGGTGTTATGTGGCATCTCATCGGAGTTTCCGCAAGAAGCCGGGCAGCTGCGTTTTGTACCAGCTTGAGCTTCCGGATCACCGACAGAGGAAGGTCAATGTAGAGGGCGTTACAGTAGTCCAGTCTTGAGACGACCGTAGCCTGGATCACCGTAGCTAGGTCATCCCTGGACAGGTAGGGGGCCAGCCGTCTAGCCTGCCGCAGAAGAAAAAAGGCGGTTCTGCTAGCGGCGGAGACCTGGGCCTCCATCACCAGCAGAGGGTCCTAGAGGACTCCCAGACTCTTGACCAATGATGACGGGCGTAGCACCTCGCCATCCAGGGTAGGCAGCTGGATATCCCCACTGCTTGGTTGACCCAGCCATAGGATCTCCGTCTTTGCTGGATTGACCCTCAACCTGCTGGCACACAGCCATCCAGTAACAGCCTCGAGGCACTGATGGAAATAATCAGGTACAGAGTCCGGTCAGCCTTCCATCTTCAGCACCAGCTGAGTGTCATATACTTCAATTTGGTGGAAGGATAGAAAAGAGGGGAGGGTTAGGATAAAGTAGGGCAAGCTTTACTGTTTGGGGTAGAGTAAGGGTTAGGATTAGAATTAGGCTTAGGGGTTAGGGCAGTGGTTCTCAACGTTCCTAATGCCGTGACCCCTTAATACAGATCCTCCTGTTGTGGTGACCCCCAGCCATTAAATTATTTTCGTTGCTACTTCATAATTGTAATTTTGCTACTCTTCTGAATCGTTATGTAAATATCTCATATTCTCATTCACTGGACCAAATTTGGCACAAATACCCAATATGCCCAAATTTGAATACTGGTGGGGTTGGGATGGGGGGATTGGTTGGAGGATGGGGTTTGGTGGACGCTGACCTTGAGTTTGGGAGTTGTAGTTCAGCTACATCCAGAGAGAACACTGTGGGCTGAAACAATGATGGTTCTGTACCAAACTTGGCACAAATACTCAATATGCCCAAATATGTATACTGGTGAAGTTTGGGGGAAATAGACCTTGACATTTGGAAGTTGTAGTTGCTGGGATTTATAGTTCACCTACATTCAAAGAGCATTCTGAACTACACCAACGATGGAATTGAATCAAACTTGGCACACAAAACTCCCATGACCAACAGAAAATACTGGAAGGGTTTGGTGGACATTGACCTTGGGTTTTAGAGTTGTAGTTCGCCTACATCCAGAGAGCACTGTGGACTCAAACAATGATGGATCTGGATCAAACTTGGCACGAATATTCAATATGCCCAAATGTGAACACTGGTGAAGTTCGGGGAAAATAGACCTTGACGTTGAGGAGTTGTAGTGGCTGGGATGTTTAGTTCACCTACTACCAAAGAGCATTCTGAAGCCCACCAACGATAGAATTAGGCCAAACTTCCCACACAGAACCCCCATGACCAACAGAAAATACTGTGTTTTCTTATGGTCTTTGGTGACCCCTCTGACACCCCCTCGCGACCCCTCCAGGAGTCCCGACCCCCAGGTTGAGAAACACAGTTCTATAGTATCTGTGTTCCGTTCTGCGTTGCGCAAACAGTGCGTAAGGCTTCCATACTATTACCCCTGATGCGAATGTAGAGGCCGAGGGGAAGGGGAAGGGTCGGTCTTACCGGTGTGGGCGTAGGAGACGGGCACCCTCCAGAGGGAGACGTGTGCGGAGACGGAGGCGAGGTACTTCCCGAAGGCGAGCGGGAGGATGAGGCGCGGGTAGGCGCGGGGCGGGAGCTGGGCGGGGCCGGCGGCGGGCACCCTCCAGGCGCGGAGCAGCGGCGGGAGAAGCGCCACCAGGCCCAGCACGTGGCACAGCGAGACCGTCACCGGGCGCGGGAACCCGCCCAGCAGCACCTTATTCACCACATTGCCACCCGCGCTTAGGGCGTACCAGGCCAGGCACAGCACCGGCACCCGCAGCACCCCCGGCGGGGGAGGAGGAGGAGGAGGAGAAGCAGCCGAGGGAGCCGGAGGCAAAGCGGAAAGAGAAGGGGGCGGCTCTGAGGCCAGGGAAGGGCCCGGCGCCGGCGGGGGAGGAGGAGGCGGCAGCGCCATCCTCGGCGGCGGCGGCGCGAAACGAGCTGACAGGCCGCCGCCGCCCCTCTCGCGCTCGCTCACTCACTCCGCTGGCGCTCGGGCCGCGTCACTTCCGGAGGGCTGCCGGAAGTGCAGGCCCGGCCTACGGAAACCCAGGGGGACGCCGCCTCCCACTCACTCCGTCGCCTGTAGCCTGGACGCATCACTTCCGGGAAGCCCATGGGGACGCTTGTCTCTCCCTCGCTGAACTACCCCTAGACGTCACTTCCGGTAAGCGAAAGCCTCGCCTACGGACGCTGGCCCTCCTTTATGCTGTAGTCCGGATACGTCACTTCCGGAAAGGGGAAGCCCGATGATCTTGCCCCCTCCCCAGTGCCTGCGCGCGCAGACCCGGAAGCGGGAGAGGCCCTCCTTGCATTTCTGCTTCCTGTCTAAAACTGTAAAGATCACTCCCAAATCCGGGGCGGATGAGCTCCCTCTATCAGCTCCAGCTCCTCATGCAGGGACATGAGAGAAGCCTCCCACAAGGATGATAAAAACATAGAATCAAACAAACATTACATTTTTATTTATATACATTATTATTGTTATTATTGTTATTATTATTATTATTATTATTATGGAGCCCCCGGTGGTGTAGTGGGTTAAACCCCTGTGCCGGCAGGACTGAAGACCGACAGGTTGCAGGTTCAAATCCAGGGAGAGGCGGATGAGCTCCCTCTATCAGCTCCAGCTCCTCATGCGGGGACATGAGAGAAGCCTCCCACAAGGATGATAAAAACATAGAATCAAACAAACATTACATTTTTATTTATATACATTATTATTATTATTATTATTATTATTATTATTATTATTATTATGGAGCCCCCGGTGGTGCAGTGGGTTAAACCCCTGTGCCGGCAGGACTGAAGACCGACAGGTCACAGGTTCAAATCCGGGGAGAGGTGGATGAGCTCCCTCTATCAGCTCCAGCTCCTCATGCGGGGACATGAGAGAAGCCTCCCACAAGGATGATAAAAACATAGAATCAAACAAACATTACATTTTTATTTATATACATTATTATTATTATTATTATTATGGAGCCCCCGGTGGTGCAGTGGGTTAAACCCCTGTGCCGGCAGGACTGAAGACCGACAGGTCGCAGGTTCAAATCCAGGGAGAGGTGGATGAGCTCCCTCTATCAGCTCCAGCTCCTCATGCGGGGACATGAGAGAAGCCTCCCACAAGGATGATAAAAACATAGAATCAAAGAGTTGGAAGAGACCTCCAGTCCAACCCCATTCTGCCAAGAAGCAGGAATATTGCATTCAAATCACCCCCGACAGATGGCCATCCAGCTTCTGTTTAAAAGCTTCCAAAGAAGGAGCCTCCACCACACTGGTGCAGAGAGTTCCACTGCTGAACAGTTCTTCCTCATTGTATTGTCGAAGGCTTTCATGGGTGGAATCACTAGGTTCTTGTAGGTTTTTTCGGGCTATAGGGCCATGTTCTAGAGGCATTTCTCCTGACGTTTCGCCTGCATCTATGGCAAGCATCCTCAGAGGTAGTGAGGTCTGTTGGAAATAGGAAAATGGGTTTATATATCTGTGGAATGACTGGGGTGGGGCAAAGAGCTCTCTGCTGAAGCTAGGTGTGAATGTCGTTCAGACGTGACGCTTGTCGGGCTGGGTATGGGGCACGTGAGGGTCCGAAGAGGAAGACGCGTGTAACAGCCTAACAGAAACCCCTTCCTCTTGTGTGCTGCTCTACATTCACACCTAGCTTCAGCAGAGAGCTCTTTGCCCCACCCCAGTCATTCCACAGATATATAAACCCATTTTCCTATTTCCAACAGACCCCACTACCTCTGAGGATGCTTGCCATAGATGCAGGCGAAACGTCAGGAGAAATGCCTCTAGAACATGGCCCTATAGCCCGAAAAAACCTACAAGAACCTAGTTATTCTTCCTCATGTTCAGATGGATCTCCTTTCTTGTAGTTTGAAGCCATTGTTCCACGTCCTAGTCTCCAGGGAAGCAGAAAACAAGCTTGCTCCCTCCTCCCTGTGACTTCCGCTCACATACTTATACATGGCTATCATATCTCCTCTCAGCCTACGCTTCTTCAGGCTAAACATGCCCATCAAATCATCCGGGCATCTGGTGTGAGAGAATTGGCCGTCTGCAAGGATGTTGCCCAGGGGACGCCCGGATGATTTGATGTTTTATCATCCTTGTGGGAGGCTTCTCTCATGTCCCCGCATGAGGAACTGGAGCTGAAGGAGGGAGCTCATCCACCTCTCCCCAGATTCGAACTGTTCTTCGGTCCTGCTGGTACAGGGGTTTAACCCACTGCGCCACCGGGGGCTCCAGCACTGCTGGTCATGATATAATACATGACACTAGTGAATCAGACCCTGGTGTATAGAAGAACAACAAACCTCATAACCTCTGAGGATGCTTGCCACAGATGCAGGCAAAACGTCAGGAGAAAATGCTTCTAGAACATGGCCATACAACCCGAAAAACCTACAACAACCCAGGGATTCCGGCCATGAAAGCCTTCGACAATACATAGAATCATAGAATCAAAGAGTTGGAAGAGACCTCATGGGCCATCCAGTCCAACCCCCTGCCAAGAAGCAGGAATATTGCATTCAAAGCCCCCCTGACAGATGGCCATCCAGCCTCTGTTTAAAAGCTTCCAAAGAAGGAGCCTCCACCACACTCTGGGGCAGAGAGTTCCACTGCTGAACGGCTCTCACAGTCAGGAAGTTCTTCCTCATGTTCAGATGGAATCTCCTTTCTTGTAGTTTGAAGCCATTGTTTCGTGTCCTTGTCTCCAGGGAAGCAGAAAACAAGCTTGCTCCCTCCTCCCTGTGGCTTCCTCTCACATATTTATACATGGCTATCATATCTCCTCTCAGCCTTCTCTTCTTCAGGCTAAACATGCCCATCAAATAATCCGAGCGTCCCATGGGGAACGTCCTTGCAGGCGGCCAATTCTCTCACACCAGAAGCGACTTGCAGTTTCTCAAGTCGCTCCTGACACGACAAAAACAACAAACTCCCAAATAGCCCATTTAAATTGCAATCCGCCAAGTCTTACAGGCCGCCTACAACTCTCAGAAGCCCTTCCTGCCTTGTCCAATCGTTAGGAATGCTGGGAGATGAAGTCCAAAACCCCTGGAGATGGCTGCGGGTCATTCAGGCCTGCTTTGAGAGGCCTCGGCATATGATAATGATGATATCATATGACAGTGGTTCTCAACCTGTAGGTCCCCAGATGTTTTGGCCTTCAACTTCCAGAAATCCTAACAGCTGGTAAACTGGCTGGGATTTCTGGGAGTTGTAGGCCAAAAGACCTGGGGACCCACAGGTTGAGAACCACTGTCAAATGACATTATTATGAGTCATGTCCCATGTTAGAATACAAGCCAGTACGCGAGGCCCCTCTCCACTACCAAAGCAGATAATTTGGATTGGAAGTGGCAGCAGTGGAGGCAGGACCCTTCTCGGCAGGGCTGTCCTTTTGTTCCGATGCCGCTCCAAAGCACCCTGCACATGCCTTAGAAGCCTCTTCCCTTAAGGACCCACAGCAAACTTGGGTTTTGCATAGAAAAAAGCATACTAAGAATACTCATAAATAATCATGGGTATTATGCAAGCCAAGCCAACAAACAATGCTGTCAGATAATATGTACAATTTATCTTATGTGGATTGCCAGCCCTGTCGCTGCTCCATGTGGCCAAAGAGCGGTTTAAACATTATCCATGATGGTCATGATGAGGGGAGCTGGGGTCCCACAACATTGAGAAGCAACATTTAAAAGGAAAATACAGTTCCGGCCCAGCGTACCTGTCCAAACGTATCTCCTATGTCCCACCTCGGAGTTTAAGATCTTCTGTAGAGGCCCTGCTCTCGGCCCCGCCACTATCACGAGTGAGGCTGGTGGGGACAAGGGACAGGGCCTTCTCAGTGGTGGCCCCTTGCCTGTGGAACTCACTCCCTGGGGAAATTAGGTCATCAACATCCCTCCTCTCCTTCAGAAGGAAGCTGAAAACATGGATATGGGACCAGGCCTTTGGGTAATCTGGCAGACTGAAAAGGTAATGACGACCAGAATTTGGAAAGGACTATGGTAATGCTGAATGGACTTACGGATTTCAGAACTCGGTGAACGTTGGCCACTAGATTGGCTTTTAGTTGTTTTATATTAAATGTTTTAACTTGTGGTTATTGTTGTTATGTATTTTATCTGTTGAATTGTTGGCATCGAATTGTGCCGGTTGTAAGCCGCCCTGAGTCCCCCCTAGGGGGTTGAGAAGGGCGGGGTGGAAGTGCCTGTAATAAATAAATAAATAAATAAATAAATAAATAAGACTTTAGTTCCCAAATTCTAAACATCCCATCATCAGGGTTTTAAACTAGCCTTTCTGCTTGCAAGCAGAACAGAAATCCCCAAAGGAGGATTAAAGGGGTCAAGGGAGGTGTGGTACTACTACTACTACTACTACTACTAATAATAATAATAATAATAATAGTGGGCCAGTGGAGTTAATAAGAATAGCAGAAGGCCAGTTAATAATAGTACTACCATGTTGTACTATTCGTTCAGTCATTTCTGACTCTTCGTGACCTCATGGTCCAGCCCATGCCAGAGCTCCCTGTCTGCCGTCACCACCCCCAGCTCCTTCAAGGTCAATCCAGTCACTTCAAGGATGCCATCCATCCGCCTTGCCCTTGGTCGGCCCCTCTTCCTTTTTCCTTCCATTTCTCCCAGCATCATTGTCTTCTCTAAGCTTTCCTTTCTCCTCATGATGTGGCCAAAGTACTTCATCTTTGCCTCTATTATCCTTCCCTCCAATGAGCAGTCGGGCTTTATTTCCTGGAGGATGGACTGGTTGGATCTTCCCGCAGTCCAAGGCACTCTCAGAACTTTCCTCCAGCACCACAGCTCAAAAGCATCGATCTTCCTCTGCTCAGCCTTCCCTATGGTCCACTAGGGTATAATAATTATAATATATTGCATGTACATATAATATTGATCATAATATTGTAATACAATATGATACTAATAATACAATATAATATAATTATATATTTTATATTACATGTAATATTATTAATATCATTGCAGTATAGTGGTATAGTACAATCTAGTAAAATATAATACTAATATTGTGCTATGCTAGTAATATAATATATTATATGTACACATAACTTGTAAGCCGCTCTGAGTCCCCTTTGGGGTGTGAAGAGCAGGATATACATGCCATAAGTAAGTAAATAAATAAATAGAGGGCCAATGTAGTTAGTAATAGTAATGATAATAGAGGGCCAGTGGGGACCCCTGGACCCCAACACAGCCAAAGAATGAACAGGCTAGTTTCCCACTTAAAACCAACCAGCTACTTCTGAAACTGTTAGGAAACGGACAGGGTACTTTGTGCAAATTTTTTTTATTCTTCTTCTTTCCACATTTATATCACAATGTGTCCGCTGAAAGGACCAATAGCAAAGTTGCTCCCTTCTGTGTCCCAGGAACACAGAAGTCTATAGTTTACTGTACATTCACTAAGGCTGTTTTTTTTTTGTTTTTTATTTATTTAAATTTCTGCAAGTCGCTTTTTCGTCGATGGATCTCCTCCGTAAGGCAAACGATATCTAAAGGAATGGTAACAAGTCGGGTTTTTTCCAGCATACAAACCAGGCTTCCCGTCTCCCCAGGCCCCCTTCACAGAACGCTCACAAACTAGAATAGCACCCTCAGAATGATTTGGAGCCTCCCTTGTTTCAAACAAATTAAAGAAAAGGAAAGAAAAGGGAAGAAAAGGGACTTTCCCTGCCTTTTCCCTCAACCAAAAAAAAAATCTGCTCAAGCGGTGGCAATTGGTAGGTCGTTGCTCTTGCCGATGGGCTTGGGACCACTTTTCTGCATCATTCTTTGGGACCGAGGCCACAAGAGACCCCCACCTATGAGTCTATGCTGCCTTTTGGCCCCTGTCCCATAGCAAGGCAAGACCATCAGGAGCAAACTCTACACCTCCAACCTAAAGATTTCAAGGGAGGGGGGAGAAACCTTGAAGAGAGATGCAATGCAAAATAAAAAATAAAAATTACTACAGTCTCGCACGGTTCACCTTGAAACGTTTCAATGCCGTATTTTTTTCTGGGTTTTTTTTTTCAAGAAAGGAAAAAAAATCAACTCAAGACAAATAAATAAGACTCAACTACTCCTGTGTTTAAATGTCCTGCTGTCTCCCGCCCGAAGCCTGCCTTGCTCTCCTTCACAAATCACTGGAAAAGCTTCCCACCTTTTGATAACATAAAAACACCTTTTTTTTTTGTTAACAGCCAGATTTGCTCAGGGTTGTTGCCGTTGGGAGACCACAACTTCCTTTGTTTCTTGAACTTTTAACGCCTCCCTTTTGTTAGTAAACTGGTAGCAGCACTTCAAAATGAAAACAAAAAGAGGACTTTTTTCTAAATGGGGGAGAAGAAACTGCCCAATGTCCAGCTCGCTCTCTTTCATACCTTTCCTGGCTGGTTTTGCACCTACTCCTCCGCCTCCAATGTGAATTTGGGGCGAGGACAGAGAGCTGGAAGTGGCTCCTGCTTCACTTAACTGCCAGTGTAAAAAAAGAAAAGAAATAAAACAAGAAGAAGCCTCCGGCAAAAAACGGTGGTCAGTCAAGGCAGACGTAAGGCAGGATGTTGAGGCGCCCATCGTCACCATGTGGGTCCAGCGATATGCACTGCGTCCAATCATACCAGTTACCCTGTGTGTCATAGCAGCCATTTACGCCGGGCCAGCGCCGCCCGCCAATGCGCTCCGTATCGCCAGGCGTGAGCTCCCGCGTGACCCCAGGCAAGTCCAAGGGGCCCTTGCCGTGCGGGGCCAGGACGTGGGTCTTGCGGGCCTCCCGCCGGGTGCTCTCCTCCTGCTTCAGGTACTCTGACATGAAGTAATGGGCGCCTGGCGTCTGCGCCCCAGAGGAGGAGAGCAAGCTGCTCTGGCGGGTCAGATAGGACTGAATTATCTCATTGCGGGACAGCTCCTTCCAGTTGGTCTGTTCAAAAGGGCTGTGCAGCGGGAGGCTCTTTGCCTCCGTGCCTGTCCGCTGTGATGATGAAGATGATGGCGGCGGCAATGGCGGCGACAACACAGGCGGCAAGGGCAGCTGCTCGGCAAAGGCAGGGAGGTCCCCTATTGGTGCCGCTGCCGGCAGAGAATCCCTTTGGGCCAAGGGCTTGATCTCGCCTGTCATGGGGTCAAATGTCAGCCGCCGCTCCTTTTTTAATCGCACGGGCTTCACCCCCCCACCGCTCCCGCCCCCCTCCAGCCCCTGCCCATCCAGTCCTTGGGCCATGTAGTCCTTAGGCCGGCACTTCTTCTTCTTCTTCCCATCGGAACCAGAAGCAGTGCCATCACTGCAGTCCCCCCTCGGGGCGCCTGGCAAGAAGGACTCCGAAAAGTGGGAGGCCCCTGCCCCACTGGGTGAGGCCCCTGCCCCCAGCAGAAAGGGCTGGGTTTCAGGCGTGGCCTCTTGAAGAGGCGATGCCAGCCTCTTGGCGGCTGGCGAATGGGAAGACGTGGGGCTCTCTGCTGCTGCATTCAGGGAAGAGGCCCTCAGAGAAGGCTCCAAGCCCTTGGAAGAGAAAGTGGCGTGCTGCCGAGCAAACGTTTCCAAGCAGATGCTTCGGGGGCTGAAGGAGGAGCAGCGGGGACTTCTGGGTTGACCACCCGATGCTACTGCTGCTTCCTCCGCTTTCTCATACTGTGGCACCGGCAGTGGCAGGACCGCCGTCTTGAGCAACGAGGGCAGCCCAGAAGGCTTGAAGAGTCCCACTGGGGAGCTGGTATGCGGCCGGACTGCGTTGATGGGGATCTTGCCGCTGGGCTTCTCGTTTTCCCCAGTCTCGACCCGACCACCTTCAGCCTCCAGAGGGAAGCCGGCATCCGGAGGGCTGGGGAAACTCTCCGGGCTACCCCCAATCCCATTCGTGGGAGGTGGGGAGGGGTTCTGCAGTGCCTCATAGCTAGCTTTGGCGGTTTTCAGCAGCGAGGAGGCAGGGGGGCCCTGGAGGCCATCCCTGGGCTCGCCACCCCCTTTCCGCTTCCGGTTCCCTGGCTTCGGAGAGTGCGGTTTCTGGACGTCATTCCGGCTCTTCGCGTCCTGGACAGGCTTGGATACGGCCCCGATGGCAGTGGCCCCGGGGGGTGTTTCCACGCGGCAGTTGTGAGCACCCCCATTGGCTGACCCGGGGGGGTTTGGCAGCCCCCTCAAAGTGGCCTCGTTCTGGGCGACCGGCTCAATCAGCTTCTGCCAGTTCCGCAGGAGTTTCTTGGCACGCTTGGCGAGCTCCTCATTTTCCGTTTTCTTCCTGACGTCATTGATGAGCCTCCCCAGCCGCGTTTCCTGGAGTTTCAAACCAAAGAATTAAAAGAGAGAAAGAAAAGGTCATTTCAGAAGATTCTGAATTGAGTCACATTGGATGCACTTGTTAAGTACCGAAACTAGGAATGTAGGAAAGCTTTCTCTTCCCAAGTTCTGCAGGAAATATACACTAGATCAGGGGTCCACAAACTTTTTAAACAGGTCACAGTTCCTCAAACTGTTGGAGGGCCGGATTATAATTTGAGAAAACATGAATGAATTCCTATGCATTCCACATATCTTATTTGTAGTGTAAAAATCACTTAAAAACAATACAATAATTAAAATGAAGAACAATTTAAACAAATATAAACTTATTAGTATCTCAATGGGAAGTGTGGGCCTGGTTTTGGCTCAAGAGATAGGATTGTTGTTGTTGTGTGCTTTCAAGTCGTTTCAGACTTAGGTTGACCCTTAGCAAGGGCCGGATAAATGACCTTGGAGGGCCGCATCCAGCCCCCGGCCTTAGTTTGAAGACCCCTGCACTAGATAGTTCCACCATGTCTCCTGGCCCTCAGTTGGTACGAATATATAGCCAACAATATACTCCAGGATTATATAATTGAAAGGAAAAATAGGTATATAAACAGATATCCTATGGAGGACTGGGATCAAACTGGGAATATAAGCAAAGTGAAGGGGGGGGGGAAAAAACACAAGGAACTAAATCAGACCATCTCCATGATCCAACAAATAGAATAAAAGACAGCATTGAATTGCAAATGTTCCCAGAAGGAGGGGATAGGGAAACTAATACTTCTTCTTATTATTATTATTATCATCGAACTGCAAAGGCTCTGGCATAAACCAGTACAGGTGGTCCCAGTGGTCATCGGCACACTGGGTGCCATGCCAAAAGATCTGAGTCGGCATTTGGAAACAATAAACATTGAGAAAATCACAATCTGTCAGCTGCAAAGGCCACCTTATTTGGATCTGCACGCATCATTCAAAAATACATCACACAGTCCTAGACACTTGGGAAGTGTTCGATTTGTGATTTTGTGATACGAAATGCAGCATATAGATCTCATTTGCTGTGACATACTGTGTTTTGTGTCAGTAAAATAAAATAAGAGAGGGAGAGGGAGGGGTGGTGGGGAAAAATAATAATGAGTGTGAGGTGGGGAAAATAATGAGAGAAGTGGCAGGGAATAATAATAATAAGAAAGGAAGAGGGTGCTGGGAAAAGAATAATAATAAGCAAGGGAGAGGGTGGTGGGGAAATAATAACAATAAGCGAGGGAGAAGGTGGTGGGGAAATAATAATAGGGAGGGGTGGTGAGGAAATAATAACAATAATAAGAGAGGGTGGTCGGAAAATAATAATAAATGTGCTCTACCTAGGGTTACCTATGAAGATGGTCCGGAAGTTTCAACTAATCCAACGGGCAGTGACCAGACTTCTAACTGGAGCAACGTACAGGAAGCATACAACTCCTTTGTTGAGTCAGCTCCGCTGGCTGCCGATGTGCTACTGAGCCTAATTTAAAGTGCTGGTCTTGGCCTATAAAGCCCTAAACCAGTGGTTCTCAACCTGGGGTCCCCAGATGTTTTTGGACTTCAACTCCCAGAAATCCTAACAGCGGGTAAACTGGCTGGGATTACTGGGAGTTGTAGGCCAAAACACCTGGGGACCCACAGGTTGAGAACCACTGCCCTAAACGGTTCTGGTCCAATTTATCTGTCCGAACGTATCTCCTCTTATGAGCCCATTAGAACTTTAAGGTCTTCAGGGGAGGCCCTGCTCTCGCTTTTTTGCAAGCGCGACTGGTGGGGATGAGAGGCAGGGTCTTCTCCGTGGTGGCCCGTAGCTGTGGGACTCCCTCCCCAGCGACATCAGGCAGGCCCCATCCCTTCTGGGTTTTAGAAAAAAGCTGAAGACCTGGCTCTGCGCACAAGCGTTCGAAGAATAAATTTCTTCTAATCTCTATCATGATTTTATTATTTTTATTATCATTATTTTAATGTCATTTTGATAATGTTGTTTGTTGTATATGCTTTGATTTTATTGCTGTATTATATTGTCCGGGCTTGGCCCCATGTAAGCCGCTCCGAGTCCTCATCGGGGAGATGGTGGCAGGGTAGAAATAAAGTTTATTATTATTATTATTACCATTTCGACACAGTCTGGATTAAGGATTATGAGCAGGATTTTGGATGAATGGAACTATGCACTTGATATGCTTTTAAATTTTGTATACTGTTTTATGTGCATTATTGCTTAATGTTAATCATTTTAACTGTTTAAGTTCTATTGTTATTGCTGGTTTTTACCAGCAATGGATTTTTGCCGAAGTTGTAAGCCACCTCGAGTCCTTTTGGGTGAGAAAGGTGGGGTCGAAATGAAGTAAGTAAATAAATAAATAATAAGTGAGGGAGAGGATGGTGGGGAAATAGTAATAATAATAATAGGGAGAGGGTGGTAGGGAAATAGTAATAATGAGAAAGGTATTAAGTAGGAGACTAAGATGGAACTAGAAAGGAGTAGAAAAGTATTCCCTCCTGTCTTTTAGAAGAAAAATCAAGACCTGGCTTTGGGACCAAGCGTTCGATTAGTGAGCAGCAAGTAAAAGAAATTTTTAACACTTATGGCAATGATTTGACCCAGACTGGATTTTAGACTCTGATTTTAATAGGCGTGTGCTAATCAATTGTTTTAATATTTGTAATATTTTAATGTATTGTTGATTGCTTTATTATGACAACACCGTATGGTGTTTGTGAAGCCGCCTTGAGTCCCCCCTCGGGGGTGAGAAAGTGGGGTATAAATATAGGAAATAAATTCATAAAAAATAATCTCCTTTACATATATGTATTGATCTTTTTTCTTTAATATTGCTGTAATATAATGGAGACAGTTATACTCTATTTATACAACCCAATTAAAATTTTCTTTTAAAAAGAAAGGCAAATTTAACCAATAAGCAACCTATCAGATTGCAGGAGGGTGGTTTCTTCAGCCCAACAAACCCCTGTTCACTGGGCAAGGCAGAAACCTCTCTAAATTCCTGCAGAGCCATCCACAAAAGCACAGCGAGGTTTAGTCACTACAGTGGGACTTCAACTTAAGAGCTTTTGTGAGTCAAGAGGCGTTACTCTTAACCCGGTTTCGCTTTAGTATACGAGCAGTGCTTTGAGTTAAGAGTGAGTGCGAGTGTGAGAGTCTCGGAACCATTGGCAATCATCTTTGAGAGTTCTTGGAGAACGGGAGAAGTTCCAGCAGATTGGAGGAGGGCCAATGTGGTCCCAATCTTCAAGAAGGGAAAAAAGGATGACCCAAACAACTACCGTTCTGTCAGTCTCACGTCGATATCAGGCAAGATTCTGGAAAAGATTGTTAAGGAAGTTGTCTGCAAACTTAGAAACAAATGCGGTCATGGCTAATAGTCAACATGGATTTATCAAAAACAAATCATGCCAGACTAATCTGATCCCTTTTTTTGACAGAGTTACAAACGAAATGCAAAGATACAGAATGGGGGACGCCTGGCTAGAGAACAGTACACGTGAAAAAGATCTTGGAGTCCTTGTGGACAACAAGTTAAACATGAGCCAACAATGTCATGTGGCGGCAAAAAAAGCCAATGGGATTTTGGCCTGCATCAATAGTAGCCTAGTGTCTAGGGAAGTAATGCTACCCCTCTATTCCACTTTGGTTAGACCACACCTGGAATATTGTGTCCAATTCTGGGCATCATAGTTGAAGAGAGATATTGACATGCTGGAATGTGTCCAGAGGAGGGCGACTAAAATGATCAAGGGTCTGGAGAACAAGCCCTATGAGGAGTGGCTTAAAGAGCTGGGCATGTTTAGTCTGAAGAAGAGACGGCTGAGAGGAGATATGATAGCCATGTAAAAATATGTGAGAGGAAGTCACAGGGAGGAGGGAGCAAGCTTGTTTTCTGCTTTCCTGGAGACTAGAACACGGAACAATGTCTTCAAACTACAAGAAAGGAGATTCCATCTGAACATGAGGAAGAACTTCCTGATTGTGAGAGCTGTTCAGCAGTGGAATTCTCTGCCCCGGAGTGTGGTGGAGGCTCCTTCTTTGGAGGCTTTTAAACAGAGGCTGGATGACCATCTGTCAGGGGTGCTTTAAATGCAATATTCCTGCTTCTTGGCAGGGGGTTGGACTGGATGGCCCATGAGGTCTCTTCCAACTCTATGATTCTATGAGTCCTGGGCTTTAGGCCTTCATGGGAGCAGCCTCTGGGCCTCATGCTCTTGTCCCCTTTAAGGAACTTTGGGTTAGTTGATTTTGTGAATATCCTTGCAAATTCACATCTTAACTCAAGGTATCACTGCACTTCAGAGACTCGATTAAGGTTGGGGCAACAAGAGTAGGAATGTGAGGTCCTGAAGATATGGAGAGGGAACCCACGTTGGATGGAATTCCCCAGCAAACTGAAACGGCTACTGCATCAGACACCACGACTCAGCAAAGCTGCCAGAAAGCACCTCCAGAACCCTAGCTGATAAAGCAGAGAAGCTGGCCAAGGAAAGAGAGGCAACTAGGGTCACGTTAAGCTGGAGATTTAAGCTCGTGTCCTGTGTTTTAATCTCTCTCTTGTGCATTTTATAATGTGTCTTTTATAGAACTACACTTGAAGATGCATGTTTATAGAATTATTTTTGCAATGCTTGTGTGTTTTGACTGGGCCGTGAACTGCCTTGAGGAGAGGCAGGTAAGAAATAAAAATGAAGATGATGATTTTATCCTCGTAAGTATTGTTCTGAATTAAAACATGCTATAATGTCAGATTGAACCTGAGTCTCCTTATGGAGAGAAAAAGAGGGATATAAATAAACATAATAATAATATAAATACTTCTCCTCTGCCATTTCTCTGTGTATGTACACTTGAGTGCCAAAAGACTAGGGTATCTGCTTCCGGTATCTGGAGCCTCTTTTACAGGTGACCAAATGGGATTTTTAGATGTGACTTTGGATATTATATTATTGGGTTGCTATGAGTTTTCTGGGTTGTATGACCATGCTCCAGAAGCATTCTTTCCTTATGTTTCTCCTTCATCTATGGCTGGCATCCTCAGAGGTTGTGAGGTCTCTTGGAAACTAGGGAAATGGGGCTTATACAGGGTGAGGCAGCATAACTTCCTTTTTTAAAATGCGTGCCATTCAGTTGGTTGAAGACGTAGCGGAGCACTAGTGGTCTCGTTCAAGAGGCGGGAGTATAAAGTTTTGTCCTGACACAGTTCAGTCGCCATCACGTGAGGAGTGTGCTTTGCCGTTGAGGTCTACTTTTCAAGCGGATTTGGAGTGGTCGGCCCGCTCTCCATATTTTATTTATTTCGAACATTTTTACCCCGCCCTTCTCAACCCCTGGGGGGTCACTTTTTTCTTTTTTAGGCGCGGAACACCATCTTGGTTGCAACAGCAGCAATGATTTTTTTTTCTATGGAGTTTTTTGAAATCCCATGTTTATGTGAACCGTCCAAGGACCCTAAAAGATTTGAAGACCAACATTCAGGAAGAAACGCCTGCTATGCTGGCAAGAGTCATGACAAACGCCAGAAATCGGTTTACTCAGTGTATGGAGAATGAGGGACGTCACCTACCTAATTTGATCTTCAAAACTACGTAAAACAAAAATGTAGGTATGCACCTACATTATAAAAAAATAAAAAATTCTGATTCATACAATGGGTTTTATTAAGTTTTGAGAAAAGGAAGGTATGCTGCCTCACCCTGTATATCTGTGGAATGTCCAGGGTGGGAGAAAGAACGCGTGTCTGTTTGAGGCAGGTGTGAATCTTGCAATTGGCCACCTTGATTAACATTGAATAGCCTTTCAGTTTCAAGATCTGGCTTCTCTGTGTAGTGTGACATGGCAGTTGTTAGTGTGTTCTCAAAGAATATTCAGTGCCCAGATTCGTTCATCAAGTGCTCACAACCTCTAAGGATGCCTGCCACAGATGCAGGAGAAACGTCAGGAGAGAATGCTTCTGGAACATGGCCATACAGCCCGGAAAACTCACACCAATCCAGTGAAGGCCTTCAACAACATATCATATTACTGTTGTGTAATTATATTATCCACACGGAGAGGCGGGTAAAAAAAAATATTATTAATATTTCTCTCTGAAGGTGTAGAATTTATAGAATTTCTGCAATGTCTATATGCTTGGACTGGGCTGTGACCCACCCACCTCAAACCACAAGGAGAGGTGGCTAAAAAATAAAATTGTTGTTGTTGTTATTTCTCTCTGAAGTTATAGATTTTTTTTGCAATGTTTTTGGATTGGCCTGTGACCCACCTCGAGCCACAAGGAGAGGCAGTAGGAAATAAAATTATTATTTTCTCTGAAGGTAACACGACGTCGCCTTAATAGGATATCACAACACTCTCCTGCTTTACATTACAAAAATGCCCGTTGGTAGAAAGGCCTACAAGGTAGAAAACTTCAGCCCCATGATTCCATAGCATTGAAGTAAGGCAGTTAAAGTGGATTCATTCTACAGCACCGATGCACCCCAAGATTTCTTTTTCCACTGCAGAAAGCTTTGGTATTGCAACACAATTGTTTTGAAAGAAGAATCCTAAGCAGGCATCAGCTGCAATGGGCGTATGACAAAGAGCGTGCCTTTTGCTGCCGCACATGAAATTCGTCAGCAAATACTTCTTTTTGGTCTCATCGTTTTAAACATTGAAGTGTGCATGAGATTTGCTGGTGCATGAGACTCAAGTCAAGACGGGTAAATGTTACATGCAAAGCCTTTAAACCTAGATCTGGCGTCCCTGAGTATTATTCAGGCCTTCTAGTCTTGGGTGACCGTTACTCATTTTCCCTTCTTCTCTAGATCATAAGAACACACTGCTCTTGGTTACACAGAGCTTCACATCCAGCAGCCTCATTCATTCCCAAGAAGCCATGCCAATCCCCTTCTTTCTACCAATGGAGAGACCGCTTGCAGTGAGAACGCACCTCGAGGGCCTCTTTGGTGATGGGGTATCTCTCCAAGCTGGAGATCACTTCCAGGACTGCAACCATGTTCCGTATCTAGAGGTGGTGGGGAGAAGAGACATTATTATTATTATTATTATTATTATTATTATTATTATTATTATTATCATAGAATCATAGAATCAAAGAGTTGGAAGAGACCTCATGGGCCATCTAGTCCAACCCCCTGCCAAGAAGCAGGAATATTGCATTCAAATCACCCCTGACAGATGGCCATATATTATTATTACTATTACTACTACGTTTATTTATACTCCACTTTTTCTCCCAATAAGGAGACTCAAAGCAGCTTAAGGATAATCTCAAGGATAGACAGATATTATTATTATTATGTTTCTTTATAACCCGTTTCTCTCTCCACAAGGAGACTCAAAGCAGCTCAAAGACAGAGTCAAAGATAAACAGAATACCATCAATATTGATATTATGTTTATTTATACCCTGCTTTTCTCTCCACAAGGAAACTCAAAGCATCTCAAAGATAGATATATTATTATGCTTATTTATACCCCACTTTTTCTCTCCACAAGGAGACCCAAAGCAGCTCAAAAACGGACTCAAAGATATTATTATTATTATTATTATTATTATTATTATTATTATTATTTTATGTTTATTTACACCTCACTTTTTCTCTCAAGGAGACCCAAAGCAGATCAAAGACACTCAAATATATTATTATTATTATTATGTTTATTTATACCCTGCTTTTCTCTCCAAGGAAACTCAAAGTGTCTCAAAGATAGACTCAAAGATAGATATACTATTATGCTTATTTATACCCCACTTTTTCTCTCAAGGAGACCCAAAGCAGCTCAAAGACACTCAACTATATCATTATTATGTTTATTTATACCCTGCTTTTCTCTCCACAAGGAAACTCAAAGTGTCTCAAAGACAGACTCAAAGATAGATATATTATTATGCTTATTTATACCCCACTTTGTCTCTCCGCAAGGAGACCCAAAACAGCTCAAAGACAGACTCAAAGTTATTGTTATTATTATGTTTATTTATACCCTGCTTTTCTCTCCACAAGGAAACTCAAAGCGAATCAAACATAGACTCAGAGACAGATATATTATTATTATTATGTTTATTTATACCTCACTTTTTCTCTCCGCAAGGATACCCAAAGCAGCTCAAAGACAGGCACAAAGATAGATAGATATTGTTATTATGGTGTTGATTTACACCCTATTTTTTCTCCCCACAAGAAGACTCAAAGCGGCTAACATTAAAAACAATTCAGTATAATTTAAAATCTACAGAAATTAAAACAAATGATATGGTTATATAAGCAGGGAAGGAAAGAAGACAAGCAGAAGAAGGGAAAGAAAGGAGGAAAGGGGACTATGAGTTTTAAAGGTTATTTTAAGTGTACTTATTATATTTTAATCTGTTTTTACCCCACTGTAATTATTTAATTTTTTAAACTTTTGTATTGCGCTTGTTAAACTTGACTAAAGTGTGGTATTGTTAGCCGCCTTGAGTCCCCATGGGGAGAAAGGTGGGGTATAAATACAGATAAGAATAAGAATGGGAAGAGAGGAAGGAAAGGAATGAGGGAAGGGAGAAGGAAAGAAATTGAGAAGGAAAAGGAAAGAATGGAGGAAGTAGAGAAAGGAGAAGTGAGGAAGAAAGGAAGTGAGAGAAGGAAGGGAAGAAAGATTGGAGGGAGGAAAGAAATGTAGAGGGAAAATAAAGGAAAGGATAGAAGAAAGGATGGAAGGGGAAGGAAAGAATGAAGAGGAAGGAGAAAGGGAAAGAAAGAAAGAAATTGAGAGGGAAGAGAAAAGTGGAAGAGGGGGGGATGGAAGGAAAGAGGGGAGGAAGGAGAGAATGATGGGAAAGAAAAGGAAAGAGAGAGGGAAGGAAAGAAACTGAGAGAGAAAGCAAAGGAAGAGAGAAGGAAGGAAGGCAAGATTATTGCTGTTTTAAACTGCTTATTTTATGTTTTATACTTATTATTGATGTATATGGAATATTGTTTACATGATTTTAATATGCTGGAAGCCGCTATGGGTCCGGTGAGGAAGAAAAGCGGGATATAAAGAAAGATGTATTATTATTGTTGTTATTATTATTAAGTAAGGAGAGAGGGAAGGAAGGAAAGAAAGAAATTGAGAGGAGAGGTAAATGAAAGGAGAGAAGGAAGGAAAGGAAGATGAGGGGGATGATGGGAATTATGACAGGAAGGAGGAAAAGAAACAGGGAAAGAAAAGATGGAAGGGGGAGGGAAGAATGAAGGAGAAAGGGGATGAAGGGGTGAATGATGGGATGGAGAGAGGGCAGGCAGGAAGGAAAGAAATGAAGAGGCAAAGGAAAGATGAAAGGTAGGCAGGGAAGGAAGAGTGGGGGAAGGAGAGAAAAGAGAGATTGAAAGAGAGGAGGGAAGGGATGAAGGAGAGAGTGGAGGGAAGGAAGGAAAGAAATGGAGAGAGAAATGAAAGAGGGAAGGAAGGAAGGAGAGAATGAAGGGAAAGAAAGGAGGGAAGTGGTGAAGAGGAGAACAAAGGGAAGGAGAGGCAAGGAATGGAAGGAGAAAATGAAGGAGGGAAGTAAGTAAGGAGGGAAAGAAGGTAGGAAAGAAAGAAATGGAGGGAAGGCAAAGATGAAAGAATGGAGGAAAGAGAAGAATGAAGGAAGGAGGGAGGGAAAGAAGGGAAGAGGGAAGAAGAGAGGGAATGAAGGAAAGGAAGGAAGGAAGGAAATGGAGAGGGAAAGGTGGGAGGAGGGGGAGGGAAGGAAGGAATGAAGAAGGAGGGAAGGGGTGGAGAGTGGAGGGAAGGAGAGCGAGAAGGAAGGAAGGAGTTCCTGATCCAGGACGAGGCTGCTGTTGAGGCCAAGCAATGGCGGAGAGCGAGAGAGAGGGAAGGCTCACTCACGTTGCTGTTGGGGTCGATGGCCTGGAGGAGCCGGTCCCTGATCTGCTGCGGGGAGGAGGGTCCCGGAGCCGCTGTCATTGCCTCCCTGCGCCGGGAGGAGAGGAGAGGGGGGGGCGGCGGCGGCGGGCGAGCGAGGGGCCCCTTCCCTCCCTGCCTGCCTGCCTCCTTCCGGGCCTCACTCTCCGGCCTCGCCCCGCATCTTCCGCCGCAGGAGGAGGGAGGCAGCGAGCCAGGCAGCCAGGCGGGCGCGTCAGGCGGGTGGCGCCGGGAGAGATAGGCCTGAGGCCTACCTCCCTCCCGAAGCGCTCGCTCTCCCTCTACTGTGCGGCGCGAGGCACCCTGGGAAACGCGACCGTCTGCGCCTGCGCAGAACCAAACTAGGAAGGCGAGGCGTCACAGCGCCGACGCGCTCTGTGGCGTCATGGCGCAAGGCCCGGAAGTGACGCGGACGCTGGCCCCGCCCACCTCGCTGCAAGTCTTTTGAACGGGGGAAAAGGCGGGAAAAAAGGAGGAGAGGCGTGGCTATGGTCTCAGGTAAGCTGCATCTACACCAGTGTTTCTCAACCTGGGGGTCGGGACCCCTGAGGGCAGTGGTTCTCAACCTTCCTAATGCTGTGACCCCTTAGTGCAGTTCCTCATGTTGTGGTGACCCCCAACCATAACATTATTTTCGTTGCTACTTCATAACTTTAATTTTGCTGTAATCGTCAGGTAAATATCTGATATGCAGGATGTATTTTCATTCACTGGACCACATTTGGCACAAATACCAGATATGCCCAAATTTGAATACTAGTGGGGTTTGGGGGGTGGTATTGATTTTTTTTTTCATTTGAGAGTTGTAGTTGCTGGGATTTATAGTTTACCTACAATCAAAGAGCATTCTGAACCCCACCAATGAACGAAATCATACCAAATTTGGCAACAAAACATCTCACAACACAAGGAGTGACCATCACTCAAAAAATTATGATTTTGTCATTTGGGAGTTGTAGTTGCTGGGATTTATAGTTCACCTACAATCAAAGAGCATTCTGAACCCCACGAATGAGAGAATTGGGCCAATCTTCCCACACAGAAACCCCATAACCAAAGAGCATTCTGAACTACATCAACAATGGAATTGAACCAAACTTGGCATACAGAACTCCCATTGCCAACAGAAAATACTGGAAGGGTTTGGTGGGCATTGACCTTGAGTTTTAGAGTTGTAGTTTACCTATATCCAAGATCAAACAATGGTAGATCTGTACCAAGCTTGGCACAAATACTCAATTATGCCCAAATGTGAACACTGGTGGAGTTAGGGGAAAATAGACTTGACATTTGGGAGTTGTAGTTCACCTACATCTAGAGCAGTGGTTCTCAACCTGTGGGTCCCCAGGTGTTTTGGCCTACAACTCCCAGAAATCCCAGCCAGTTTATCAACTGTTAGGATTTCTGGGAGTTGAAGGCCAAAACATCTGGGGACCCACAGGTTGAGAACCACTGATCTAGGGAGCACCATGGACTCAAACAATGATGGATCTGGACCACACTTGGCACGGATGCTTAATATGCCCAAATGTGAATACTAGTGGAGTTTGGGGAAAACAGACCTTGACATTTGGGAGTTGTAGTTGCTGAAATTTATAGTTCACCTATGATCAGAGAGCATTCTGAACCCCACCAACGATGGAATTGAACCAAACCTGGCACACAGTTCTCCCATGACCAACAGAAAATACTGTGGTCGGACTTCCGGTGGAGGCGTGATGGCGGCTGCAGCAGGTCGACGAAGCTCCTGCAGCTTCTAGGACCTGTGCATCCCCCAGAAGGGCAAGGGGCAGAGAAGCCCCACAGGCTGATGGAATAGAGGTCAGCCTGCCTAGCGAAGCCCGTTTGAGGTCCCGCGGGGGTGGGCAAGAGCAGTCGACCCTCAAGGACGACTGCCAAACCCCACCTGGCGGGTCCGAGGGCCGGCGCCCGGGGGGAAGGCACGGTTTGGGAGAACCGTAGAGGCCGCCTGCCTTCACTTTTTACTACGAGAGGAAATTCAAACGAGAAAAAAAAAAGGACTAAAGAGAACAAAGAGGCAGCAGGGGAAACAGTGCAACTTTCTGGAATTACTAGCATGAAACAAGAGGAAGAAGAGACAAAAGCTGGAAGAGAATTTGAATGTGCCTAACGTCTAAGACCAGCCAACTTGGGAAGCACGGTAAGCCCCCAGGAGGGGGATTGAAGAGAAGGCCGAGAGGGGCTAACTAAGTCCAAGCTTATTATCTCTTACTCCAACTTAATACACATCATTTACTTTACTTTATTTACTTTATACCGCGTAACCCAAACTTGCCTGCCCTCCTCCCTCTCCCCCCCCGCTCTCTCATTCTCTCACTCTCCCATTCTCTCTCTCACCCTCAGCCCAGTCCACTCACCCCCAAACCCCAACATCAAGAAAGAGAAAAAAAAATAAGGAGTGTTACCTTTAAAAATAAGGAGCGCCTCCATTCCTTTAGCGAGTGGGAACGAGGCGCGGCGCGGAGGCGCAGAACGCGCTGCGCAGAACGCAAGATTGGAAGCGAACCCCGAAGCAACGCGAGAACAGAGAGCTCGCGAGAAAAGAGGCCTCTCCAGGCCGCGCGAGAGTGCGCAAACCCGGAAGGGCACCTATAGCCTCAAGCCTCTCCCAAAGCTGCGAAGCTGCAAATAAACCAGAGCAGCCGGGCAGCGGCGGCCTGAAACGGCGGCGGGAGGTAGAGGACGAGGACGAGGAAGGCAGAAAGGAGAGAAAAAGTCAAGGACGAAACATCAAGAAAGAGGTGAGTGGAAAGCGCGATGCGGATTTAAACATAGTTACAAGTACTCAAAATAAATACATATACAAACATAAATATCAATATTAAATCACCTAACCGAAACAATCGAAACCTAACTAGAATACGCTCCCAAATAATAGATAGTTCCCCTCAAAGATAAGAAGAAGAAAAGAAAGGAAAGAAAGCAGGGAGAGGAAGAAGAAAAGAGATCCAGAAGAAAAGAGGGTCTCAAGGAAGGAATGAGGAGGAACTCGGGGACAGCTAGTTAAACGAGAGAGAGGACAGACAGACAGACAAAGTTGAAAGAGCGAAGAAACCTCCCCCAGGGAAAGCAGGAGCAGCAGCAGCAGAAGAGGAGAAGCAACAACGTGGAAGAGAAGAGGAGTGGGCAAGGCAGGAAGGCGGACAAC